GTCAAGACTTAGGCCTACTAAGAAGTTTGGAAGAAATGGAACCAAGTTGAGGACACTGTAAAATTGCCGGTCAAGCACAATTTGTGAAGTGATTCCAGAAAGAGTGGCATCTCTGGCTGTTTTGGGGAGCAAAGACATAAAATGCATCTGGTTAGACTCTGGAACCCATTGTCCTGTCACTTGAAATTCATTTCAAATTTTGTTTTTGTTTATTTTGGCAAACGGAGCCTGACCACAGCACCATTGTTGGGTTGAAAGCAGTTTCACAGCTCCATGATAAACAATTCAGCACCCTTACCATTTTTTTTCTGAGAAATCAAGAGCAGAAAAACAGTTACATATAATTCATGATGGTCAGATTAGCATTATGGGTAACTGTACATTCGGTTTACCTTAAAAACAATGATATAGAGGGGAAAGGTCTCTGTCTGACTATCTTAGAAGGTTTTCTTGATAATTTTAAGAGGTACTGAAGATTTTTTTCTGATACCTGTCACTTGTAAATAAGCAGCCAGATGCCAGGTGTTTGTTTTGGATGAATTATATGACCTCAATGTAGGTCAAGTACTCTCATGTTGGCGTGCCCTTTGGCCTTTGTGCTGAAACTGTAAAATCTGCCATTGAGTTTGATAATAATGGGTACTTTATATGACAAATCAGTTTAGGTAAAACAGTAACAAGAGCAGAGTATTGTCATGCAATTTGAGAGCAAACATTAGAGCCTTCGCAAGTCCTAGTGACTCCTTAGAAGAGTTAGCTGAAATGTAGTCACGCAATCGAAGCAAATCACATGACAGATAACATGCCAGCAGCCACCATGAGGTCGAAGTGAAAACAAAGTGCCGGTTCATACTGGGAACAGTGATAATTTTGTTCTTGGGTGCCAGAAGGTGGCATGCTCACCGTTTAATATTTCCCAGTTTATTGCTTCTCTCCTCCTTTGCAGTTTTTCAATTGTGCAAGTGGGCAAGATAAATATAGTTTTGAGTTACAGTAAAGTGTTAATGGATTTCTCTTGTTTGAATTCTCGACCCAGCTTTTGTGATCTCCCAGAGTTGTTATTGGACTATGACTGGATATGCTTTGGTGTTTGGATTTTTTTGTTGCCTGTGTTTTTCTTGTCCTTTTTGTTGTCCACAATTGCTGATCTTGGATTAGGAAAAAGCGGAAGTGCCAATGTAAATTGAGCAAGTGAAGAATGAGAATATGTGTTTGCTGCTGTTTGTTACAGACAGAAATCGGACACCATTGTTTTGTTGCCTGTAATTCTACAGGGTTTAACAACAGCGTAATGTAAGCTCATGCTTACATTAGGAGAAACACCTTAATGGATAGCAGGGAGGAGTGTATTGCCAAGAGGAAACTCAAGTTGGGAGAATTTTGTTCACATTTTTCAATCGAATTAAAATTCTACATGTCGGCGACTTGGAAATGAAAGATTTGGGCTGAAGGATTCCCACCTGTAGAATCATTATTTGGTGCTGTATGCGTTGCCCTTGGCAAAAGCTTGAAGGAAGATGTAGAATTTATGGGTGAAGCTTTCAGGTGAGTGTGCACAAACCCTTGAGGTGTTTGCATGAGTGCCAGGTTGACAGTTCCTATGACGCTGACGTTTCCTCGTGTTATTATCATCTTGCTGTCTAAAATTGTTAAAAGCAAAGGCCCATTCACACTTTGGGGCAAAAGCAAACACAAACTGCAAATTTGATAGCAGCAGGAATACAGTATCGGCTGTAGTGTCACCCATTATTTTCTGCATTCAAGCCAGTGGTGTTCACCCATTATTTTCTGCATTCAAGCCAGGGGTGCAGCTGGGATTTTACTAGTGGGGGGCTCAAGGGGGGCACCGGCATCTTATGGGGGCACCAGCTTTCAGTGGTGTGGTTGTTGAGCATTCCACTTTAGTTACCAAAAGAACTGTTCTGCTCTTGTAATGCACTGCATACTTATGCATGTTAATAACAGATGATAAACATTTTGTAACCTCAAGTGCATTTTGCTTGGAAAGCAACACTTCCTGCAAAAGTGTACTTTTAAAATATGCAGTGTGCACTCACGCTCATTTTGTGACTGTGTACCCTTAGCCAGTGTGGCCCCCTCCCCATTTTGTCTGCCTATCTTGCTTTAGTCTGTTATTCTGACATTTGTATTATGTTCCCATGTTTTCCAAAGCCCCTAGCTACCCGTTTTTCCTCCAAGGTGAAACACAGATGTTACTACCCTTGGGTTATCCTAATCGCAATTCCTTTCTATTTATTAGCATTCCATTCCATATAGTATAATTGTAAGGACTTCTTCACACCTCATCTGTGATGCGGAAGATTATTATAATAAAAGAAACCCCCATTGAGCATCTTTGAAGGGAAGAAAATAAAAGAAGGAACTGTATTATCTCCGGCCAACTTACTTTGATCAAGGTTCCTCGCTCTATGCTTTGATGAGCCGCCCAGAAAGGACTTTGTGTTCGTGTGAACCCATGCATTCAAATCTCGTGCTAAGCAAACAAGTTGAAATAAAAGAACACTAAGCAAAAACCTGGGCCTTACCATTAGTGCTTTCAAAGTGTTGGATTGTGACACCACTTTTAGAGTATCCACCTTTTGTTGTCAGTCATCTGTCACTTCAGATGACCATCTTGGGCCTACAGAGTGTGCAAGAAATTGTAGGGTGTAATGTTGAGCTGTCCTCCAGACAGGCCAGACATAATACTAGAATTGATCTCAAAGGCACCGATCAATTCAAGCGAAATATCCCCTTTGATGGCTGCATGAGATCTCTAACCCCAATCCACTCAGTATTAAAGCCACTGCATACTGCTTATTCAGAAAGGATCTGTGTTGTACAAGCTGAGGTAACGGCTGTTAGAAATATTTCTCTGATTCGGTAACATCCTTTAACAGGGAAGTCATACGGTGTACTTTCCTTACTCTGATATCACCATAGTTTAAGTATTTGGAAAGCTTCACTGTACTTAGATGAGCATTATTACAGTTATCATTATGAACTGTATTTAGTAGAAATTCGAGTTTTGTAAGAACAGTGTAGGTGCATTTTCACAAAGAGATGGAAATATTGTTGTGGTTTGGTCTTTTGTTGATGCAAAGGATGTGATTGCATAAAATGACTGTTGAAAAGAGCTCCAGTTTGAATTGATAAGTATAAATCAAGTATCAGAATCCAATACAATCTTCCAGTAACTTTGGAATTAAAGAAAAATATTTCTTACTACTCTTCAATAGTTTTCTTTTCCTTTTCTTCTTTGGCATGAATATTATTTTCTGGTTGAATTATTTGATTATTTGGTTTAATTGTCATTCTTATTTAACTAGTACATTACTCTATTACACTAGTTGTCTGATTAAACTAACGGGTAATAATATCTCCAAATAAAAATTGTGGGATATGAAACCAAAAGTCAGACAACGGAGAGGAAACCACAGGAAAGGCGCAGGTATATTTTCCTCACAATATGTACTCTTTTTTTGTATTTTTTTTAAACAAAAGCAATTTTATGTTCTTTCCATTTTGCATATAATATAGGTTTAGTCAGTTGTACAATCCTTCAGATCCACTATCAGTTTTACGGCTTACTTGGATTTTTGGAAGGCGAACAAGTCTACCTTACATAAATGCCACCCACGATCTCGAAAACCAAATTCTTTGTCTTCTTGAGTATTCTGGTCAACAGTGAGGAATATAGCTAGTCATTACTGATGGATTGAAACCTGCCATGCTGGGTAGGGGCTATGCTTTCATTCTGCCTCATCTATGACATGACTGACATCTGACACCATTTTTTCCGACTGGTACATGTGTACCCCAAGAGAAAGTTACACCTCTCTATCCACTTAAAAACAATCCTTATCCCATATAACTCATCTTGTTGCTTTTACTGAAAGTGGAAAAAAAATTAGAGTAAGACTTCCGAGACTTATTTCGCAATTCATTTTTTGAGCGGTGCAGATACCTCAATGAGGGATCAACGGGCTCAGTTGTGGCACAAGCTAGCCCGATCAATAGACATTGCTGAACGCTTGATTAATGTCCTTTGTTGAGCCAGCTCAGACTGGTCTGAGCAGAATTGTTGTTGGCAAAGGGGATTACATCTCTATCCCCCCCAGCTGTCAAAAAGGTTGAGAGACTTATCTTTAAGGTGGATCTTTCTTCAGCTGTAAAATGCTGCATGGGGTCTGCCTACAGAGAAATCAGCATAAGACGGACAAGGCTGTGTGGGTAAAGTGCTGGAGCCAATTTTATAGAGTTGCTTAAGCACAGAATTTGCTTAAGCATGAAAAAACCTTGCTTGACAAATCAGGTTACCAGCCAAAATTCCATGTGATGTATATTGCTTTGGAATGGTACTCACCTGTCTTTTGGTTAGCCTGACAATCACATAGATTTTAAGCAGGCAACCTTTATTTTGTAAACAAGATTTTTTGTGCTTAAGCAGCTCCATGAAATTGGCCCCAGGTTTGTTAAACAGAGGCATCGTACTTCAAAATACATATATTTCATTAAAGTTTGACTGTGTCCTGGCACAGTGTTTGAAACATGTTTCACAAATGTTCTGGTACTTCATGTCCACGTGTAAATAAACATTGACATAAGAAACGGGGTGAGCAATTTTTTTTATCAGAGGTCTTGAAAGAAAATTTTAAGAAGCTCCAGTTGATCTTTTCGGTATGGCACATCTCCTGACATCCTTCACAGTTAGCCATCTTTAATGCGTAGTTGTGACCCAGTTGGTTTTTGCTATAAGAATGCCACATTGATTGACATGAGAGAGAGACAGCACAGTGAGAAATTTGTGGGAAGCGATCGGTGGTATCAACAAAAGTGAATAAAGTCATCTGTTTGGCCAGCCCTTATGTCTTAATCCTTCATAGCTTTTTATCAAATCCTTATCTTTGAAATCTAAAATTGGCAAGATGCCTATACCAGGAACTGTACTCCTTTGACAAGACTATTGACAAAGGGACACATTGATGGTGAATAGCCAGCACTTTCATCAAAATCCAACTTTGTTTAATATGAAATACACTGAAATGCAACTTGAAGGCACAGAAATAATTTATACGTTGAACGTCATTCACACTATTATACAGTGTCGCAATTGAATTCAAATTTGGAACTTGAAAAACTGAATCAAATGGTAACGTATGAATACAAATATTTGAAAGCACTCCCCAAAACTGAGTCATTAGTTACATATGTATAGAGGTCTTTTGTTGTTGAAATGAAATTCCATGAATTCAAAATTGTTCATTCATCATACAAGTGTTTCATTGCCAATATGGCTGGCAAAGGTTTTGTCTCAACAATAAGCATAGTATCACAATTACATACTTCCCCCAACACGGTTTTCCACTGTCCTAGTGGTGTTAGTATACATAGATGTGCAACCCCATCATAGGCAGCTTATATAACCCCTTTCAACTTGTACTCAGGCTTGTAACGAGTCCTTTAAGAGCTTCAGATATTGAAAGAGATGCAAGGAGTTCCTCAAGTGTTCCTTTAAAGCAAAATGCAGTGACTTCCGTGTAAACGGTGATGTTTGCACACTTTTAAAATTTGTAAGAGCTGTTGACGCTCATGCCTGTCTCACTCTAACATTATACACTTAATGCCATTGATGGCATACTTCTGATAAAGAGTACAAGGCTTAGAACTCTGTTCACATCTGGGTCATTATTTGCACTTAAGATTGCCCCCTAGATGCTTCTCACCTTGCTTGTTTTGTCTGGAGTCGTCTAAATTACAAGAGGAGTATATCACAATCTCTACAACATCTGCGGACTCTAAATTAAAGCCCAGGGCTCAAGGGTCATGAGCTTTCTCCCGCACACCTGTGTTTTTACTAACATCGTGTTTGTTGGGGGAACATTGGATGACCATGTGATTTCAGGTGCATGGGTGACACAAAACGGCAACACTCATGTCAGGCACCTTGTGTTTGTCTTCAGCTTGGCATCAAGAGTGTTTTTTTTCTTCTCTGAAGGAATCATGGTCCTAATATCGTAGAGGTTTAAATGCAGTGTGCTGCTAAGGGGTTCTACAAAAATGTTTAATTTGTTGAATACTTGTCATAAACTGAGGATAAGCAATTGTTACATTTACAATTTAGAGGATTTGCTTGATCATTATCTTGCTCTGCTGCAGTGTGTATGTTTCAAGAAAAGTTGCTTGCATATTTCAAGAGCTTTTAAAACTTGCCTTTGTGATAATCATTTAATTCTGCAAGTATGCCAGTGCCATTTTTATTTATCCTTAAATTCATTTTACTCAAACTTTTTAACTATACAGTGCGAACACTCTTATACAAAAGAAGTGTGGGCTCCCACTGGCATTAACCTATGTTCAAAATGGCGTTGACAAAAATTTACAAAAAGTATCTGTAGTAGCATGGTCTCGTCATCTCTCCCATTGGTAAGTTTCTCTCCTTGCATCCAGCCAATTTTGAAAAGTAAATCACATTCGCTCCTCCAAAATGACGTATATTTAACCTTCACCCTACTAGAATTTTGAAAACAAGAATCTGTAACTACATCTGAATACAACATGTACACTCTCAATAATGTATTGATAAAAATAACTTAAAACTGATAATGATTTTCACTGTTAAAATACACATGGAAAAATAATTTATATTTACAATATATAAATATCAAAGAAAGTGACTTAAAGGAGAGCTCCAGCTTCTGTAACTACTGAACCAATGAAACTGTGCCATCAGTATTGGGAAAAATTATAAAACATAAACATTTATAAATTAATTCATTAAATTATAATCAGTCTCCTCCAACTCTCTAAAATATCCTTAATAAATCAGTGTTTTAAAAGTTTATCACCTGCATACAAACATGCTGTAATATTTCAATAGATAAGAATAAATCCAATAAAAGAGATTGATTCATGTATATACAGTGTAAAAAGATGATACTGAATTCAGATAAACAAGTGAACGTGGGAAATATTGTCCGTCAATTTGCATTTTCTGCACATTTCTTCGAACAGATGCACAGTCAACATGCATGCCATTTGGCTAGGAAATGCAGTTTAAATGTTTCTTGCGTCCTTTATAAACATTGTAAACAGTATAACAGATCCAGGCCTCAGAGTCCACCACACAGAAAACAACAGGTGGCATTTATTGAAGTTCCTGTTTCATAATGGGGTTTAAACTGTATTTCTTAAAAAGATGGGGAAAATAACATAAAAAGGTGGTCTGCCAGTGTGACTCTCTGGAAAACAAAATTAAGGGAAAAAGAGATCATGGTCTACAGTGCATTGGAATATTTTTTTATCTGTGTGAGTCAAAAAATGTCATTGGGCCCTGTTGCACATGATCACAGTCTGGATGTTGCTCTTGACAGAACAGTCAGGAATATAACTTATTTGCTCAAAATTTGTACTTGGAATCTTACATGTCAACCACTTCGAAAGTCATCTATCACCGGGGTGAGGTGCAGATCTTGAAGGGGTTGGGGTTCAGGCTGATGCCGTAATTTTTCTCGATGCTGGGCTGGGGGTTTTCTGGGGCTGCTCCAAACTTGAAGGCATGGAGCATGGAGGAGAAAAAGAGGAACAACTCCATCTTGGCAAGATTCTCACCTGGGCAGGCTCGGCGACCTACCGCAAGACAAAAATTAGAGGGGAAAAGTGAACAAACATGTCATGTTCGTATAGAAACGAGCTAGTTACAAGGCTGAGAATTTTTTTCCCAAAGAAAGGTGTTAAGTTTAGATTAACAGGTACATGCATCATATTTCAAACTGAGCATTTCTTTCAAGCTTGCTTTTGTTGGCAAAACTACCACATCAGTGTCATGTTTCAGCACATGCACTCTCACATTTCTTCACAAAAATAATATAAAGTGGGCTATGAAGAACATTTTACAAGGATAAACTCGTGTGAACTCTAGCTCCAACTTCTGGCAATATAACTGACTTTGAACAGAAACAGCGACTCCTAGGCTTACCAGCTGAGAATGGCATCAGTGCGGGCCTGTTTTGGACCTTCCCAGTTTCATCCAAGAACCTCTCTGGCCTGAATTTCTCTGGTTCTTTCCACTGCGTGGGGTCAATATGGACAGAGTACAGGTTGATGTAGATAGGTGTGTCTTTGGGAATGCTGTAGCCACACAGCTCTGTATCCTCTGTGGTTTTGTGTGGGTATGGTAGAGCAGTTATATTGGCCATACGCTGCACTTCCATTAGTGTAGCTTCTGTGTATGGAAGTTGCTTTCTGTTTTCGATGCTTGGGAGCTGATCCCTGGGAATGACAGAGTCCAGTTCTGCTTGGACCTTCTTCTGAATGTCTGGAAAGACGATCATGTACAGGATGGCCCACCTTAGGGTAGAGGACATTGTCTCTGTGCCGGCAAAGATGAGGTCATTCAAGATGTGGTAGAGATACTTCTCAGTAAAGGATGCTGTGATTTCATCAGAGAGGCACTCTTGTTGGCGGCGAGCTATTTCACCAAGGTAGGCATCAATGAAATCTCGCTTAGCCTGAGGGTTGTAGGTCTCCTTGTGCTGCCCGATGATGCCAGTTAAGAAACGGGTGATGATCTCATTGATGTTGAACATCTCTCGGATGTTGGGCAGTGGAAGCTTAATGAGAAATGGGAAGAAATTAGCAGCTGCTGCATTGGTCCCTATCTCAGAGAATCTATAGATCATGTCCACAAGGAGCTGGAACTGCGGGTCCTTGTAGTCAAACCGCCGTCCAAAGTTGAGACTGCTCACCACATTGGATGCACTGATCTCAAGGATGTGGTCTGCTTTGAAAGATTCACTGCCCTTCTCTCTAAAGGCTGCCAGCATGTGGTTGATTTCTTCAGTGATTTTGATCTCAAAGCTCTTCTTGCCAAAGCCGAAGTTTCTCAGGGTATGGAGAGTAAAGCGACGCTGCTCCCGCCAGACAGGCCCGTAGTCAGATGTCACAATTCCTGAAGTACAGATTAGAAAGGTAACAAACGCGAAATGCATGTTAGTACAAAATGACATATTTGTAATTGACAGGTTTTTTCAAAAGTTGTTGAAATCATGCTTGTACCTTCAGGTTACAACAGATCCGGAGGACAAGATCAAAGACCTTCATCTGAATTCTAACATTACAACAATGCTACTTAATGTTTTATGAGGTTGATTGCTTTTTATTTTATATTGTTACTTGGAAATGGGGGGGGGTCAAAATGGGTATGCAAAAGATCTCGTGTGCAAACAATATTTGGCACTTGTAATGACGAAAGTCAGGATGTGATGCTAAAGAGCATAATCCACCCCCCAGATAATGGCATTTTTCCCAATACCATTAATCAGTCTTCATTAGTTAAGTTGTCTACAAGCCTTTTTAAACTTATTTGGTTTTTATATCATGGCCAAGTTTTCCAGGTAGTGTCACCTTAATCTATCCCCTAGACTGAGAAGTTTGATCAGAGTTGGGTTCCCCATCCCTAAGGATTTATGCTACCCTGTGGATAAGGTCTTTACACTTTTGTCACAATATCTAATTCATTCCTGGTACTTTGACCCTCTACTTCAATAAAAAAAAATCATAAGGTTTAATGACAGTGTGGGAAATAGTTTAATCAGAATTATCAATTGTTACTGGCCTTTAGGCAATTTCCGCTGTGCACTTGACACAAAGATTTTTCTATTGAGTGACCTGAACTAAATCATACTGTAATACAAAAGTGATTTTACAAAAAAGTAATCGGGTAAAAGGCTAGTAACCTTGTATCCAGTGAATTTTACACTTGACTTGAGAGTTACATTGAAACCATTTAATAAGGGTGCTTTGGCCAGGGACTATATCCAAACTAAATCGGTCAAGCAATTGCCCCGAAGACCACAAAATCACAACACTGCCACTGGACGTTTATGGGCAAATGGGGACAGGTGACTAATGATCTGAAGGATTTATTGATAAAGAGCTTGTATTTCTTGCGAAAACAGTACTTTAGTAAAACAATAGTTAGAAAAAAATCCCTGTAACATGAACTCGCATTTGTGTATTTGAAGAGGTAAGGTACATCAGTTTCCAGTTTCTTGCTCCCTTTTGTATGTAACCATTTGTAATAAAGCAACAGATAATGGCATGGATTAAACCGTTGGCAAGGAACTGCCGAGCCACGAAGCTAAAAATGCTTAAATCAACAGGAGAACCAGTTCTTTCTTTTTCGCGGGATCAGATTGCAAATAAGCCAATGAAAGTTGGGAAATTGACTTCGGGTTCCCTCTTTCTCAAGTGGATTTCATATCAGCCCCCAATTGTCAGGCAGACAGTGGACAAAGTCCCTGCAATTACACAGGCACGATTAAGTATCGGGCAAAGAGCGGATAAGCCGGAGCCTCAAAGTGCAAGCACCCCGTTCTCCATTGTTGAAGTCAACCCTTATTTCCCTTCTGCCACACAACGGTCAATAAAACTAGAAGTGATCAGGCGCCAGTTTTTTCCCAAACACGAAAGGTAGGTATATATTTTTTTGTCTACGAGATCTTGACCGGCGCGTCTTTGTTGCGGTCCAAAGGGTTCGGTGGCCATCTTTTGTGGCGTACCTTTTCCGGGCATAATTGGTTGATTGTTAGTGTAATTGGAATGGAGTGTGCCAACAGTCAGTTAAGTGTTGAGCCCCAGGGTGAAAACGTTGGACCGAGAACTACTGCGTTTACCGTGTTTGGCGGTGGTGTGGACTCCAGAGCACGGTGGCTTGACTGGCACAATCGAGAAAGCCCGTGTTCAAAAATGGGCATCGTTATCTATGACAACGCATACTCGCAGTTGCGCTCTTTTGGTCCAAATCGTAAACACTAAAACACATGATTCAGACACGGCCTTTAAGTTCCAGATGGGCCGAGAATCCGAAGGGACAATAAGAAATAAGATGTTGTACTTTGAGAGAAAACTCTTGTTTGATTTTCAAAGGACGAGACGTTTTGTAAATATTTTGAAACGATTTTTCTTCGAAAGATTTTGTTGACGACTCCGCAATGGCGAAGAGTCGCACTTTTATATTACAATGTAAATAAAACCATCAACTTCCTGGAACTTTGTGTTTTGCATGCTAGAATTTTGTGTTTTGCATGAGCATGGAAGTTCGTAGCATGCATGAGGGCAATCGTTGTGCTCCGAGGGATGACCAAAGTTTCCAACAGACGTGTACATGTACATTATCAAGAAAGAATTGTCTTGCTTCTCGAAACCTGCAGTCATTTCACTGCCGACGATTTCCCCCAGTCATGCAGTTTCGCACGTCACAAGTTGTTATAGTTTGCACGCCCAGAACGTGGTGCACGCATATGTGCGCTGCGTGGCTCTCTGGAACTTCCCAAATTGAGTTGTTTCGAAACCCTTCCCGGACAAACCGTCTCCCAGTATCATCTCAACCACATCGCAATTCATAACACCACACTAACAGGCCTACTTGACACACTTCACGTACTATCGACAAGTCTATCTGTAATAGCGTGAGTCACCCCACGTCAAGGGCTTCTCCCGCGTTTTTTCCCTCCGTGTGATTCATGCTGGCCCATGGTCAATAAGGCGAAAGATTTTGCTGGTGCTGTTTTTTCCCCCCAGATAAACTGGCTCCTTGCTTTAGCACACGAGGCGACTCCATCCCTCGCGTTCGCTCGGCTGTGGCTAGGCTGTGGTTCTGATTCTACAGGAATTCTTTCGCGGCAAACACTGACAATTACAAAGTAGACCTGAGTGATTTCTGGCTCTTGGGTCCAATAAATTTCTTCTTTTGACATTGTGATACGAGGGAAGGGAAATGCAGTGAGCGTTGTGGTGCTGTACAGAAAACAGCTTTAAGATGGATGAACTTTTCCACGATCAGCGAAAGTAATGAAATAATCCGTAAATTTGGAGCTTCAGGTGTTCTTTTTTCAATTAAAAAAAATAGGAAATAAACGGGATGGAGTTTTATCAGGAGCAAAACGTGTCTGAGTAAACAAATGGCTATCTGGCAACATAAAAACGCGATTTGAAACATTTTAGAAAATATTCCTACATTAAAACATCGCATTGGAAAGAAATCTGAAGCTGCAGACGAAACTGAGCGGTTTCGTCGACATTGATAAGATAGTAAAAGTGCAAATGGAATGAGCCCACAACTTACTCTGTAGAATCGCAGCCGAACTGTTGAGTACGATATTATAACGGTATACGGTGTAACGTCACGAAACAGGTGTATGTGTGATGTCCAACCCAACTGGGTTGGGGTATCGTTAGATTGATTTTGAAAATAGATTTATACTTTTTACAAGTACATGTACATATATCTACTCTTTTGGTCCCACAGTAAGGACTAAAACCCGTAAAATGAAAATTGTGATTACAGTCAGGTAATCATCGCGTACTTTTTGCTCTTAATAACAGGATATCTTAAACTCAAGAATTAGAGTTCCATTTGTGACATGTCAGTCTAAAAGAAGTATAAACGTGCACGAGGAATTCTGGAGCATACACGCAGTGCGCACAGATCTATATTGACCGAGTGTAATTCAAGCTAACTTGGTCCGAAAATATATCGAAACGGGTTTGTTTCTGCGTTGAACGTAAAGCGATTTTTGTTTGTTGGGTTGTTTGTTTTTTTGGTTTTGTTTTGTTTGTTTTTTTCCTTGACGGAATTTCGAATTGAAATTTTCTCAACAAGCATAACGTGCAGTCTTACCGATCTGTTCTGAAAATTAAATAAATACATGTTTCCAGTGTACTTCTTGCAACATCAGTAATTTTCCCTTTGTAATAGTAATTGTAATAAACTGTTTAATGTAGGATTGAAGGTGGAAAGAGGACTTATGAAACGCTTAGAAAAACGTCACTCTGCAGTTAATTGATTTCTTTTGGCGGCTCCTTTTCATCTGTGAATGACTTGAACATCAATGACTCGAAACGCAACTCCGATTCTAAGAATTGGGAATACACCAGACGTCATTGAAAATGGACTGTGAATCTTCACCGCTTCAGATCAGCCTATGTTAGAGCGGAAGTGTTGGTATTTTAATCTGTTGACTTTATTGAGGGTCTGACTGTTGGTTTAGCCTGCCAGTCAACATTGAGACACAATAGGCGGGGAGCATCCTTTGTCATTGGTTACGACCGACGACAGGGCAAATTAAACAAGTCCTGATAAAGAGTTACAATATTACAGTACCGGGACTGGAGGGGAAAAAATTGAGTGCTATTGCAAACAAATTTCAAAAGTGTGTCAACAAGAAAAAAAAACACTGCGAAGCTGAAAACTGGTTAACTTTGGTTTAGAAGAATGGTGGAGAAATTGTCAGTAATCAGTGTCAAAAGTCAAGTAGCGGACTTAGACGTGAGATTATTACCTACGCTGTCCTGTTTGAACTTGCGGCCCAGCAATAACGCATGAGGACGTTATGCATCATGCCTCTTGGAAACAATCGATATTTGTTATGTACCCCCCCCCATCATGCTGGTATCATGTGCACACCGTGTGACAGTTAAAATTTGACAGCAGCGTCTTCATGTAATAAGACAATGCAATGATTCCGTGATGAAGCAGCCTTCAGATTGGCCACACTTTGCACACGTGACAGCTTGCCCACGTGGGACGTGGGAAACGCCGTTAGCGCTATAGCATCAGTACCATGCACCACGAGACAATTATAACCGTACTTTTGCGTGTCCAAGCACATCCTGCATCATTACAAATAAAACATGAAATGGCGAGGTATTTTTAGTTGCTTTAGTTTGCAAGGAAAAAGAATCTTATTATGTTTTCTATAACTGGAGCGGGCCTATTATTAAGTAAGTAAGTAAGCAAGTAATAAGGCATGGAGGTAGAAATAGCCTCCATAAAAAAGCTCACCTTGCCCTTCTGTAAGTTTGTGGAACAAGGCCATCTTTGGGCGTCCAGCAAAGGCCGAAGCGTTCTTGACCAGGGCTTCTCGGACTGCCTCAAACCCGTTGACCACCACCACTCGCTGCCCCGCCAAGTTCATGCGGAACACGTTCCCGTAAGTCTTGGTCATCTCCAGGAACGTGAGATGCGGGTTGGCGCCGAGGCTGAGCAGGCTGCCCACGACGGGTAAGCCCCAGGGGCCCGGCGGGAGGTTCTTTGCTCTGGTACGGTACCGGTGAACTGCCGTCATCACCAGGAGAAAAGTGATGGTGAACAACAGAAGTATATGAAATCCGACGAAGATGCTCTCTTCCATTCTGGCGGAGTTTGGGAATAGACTACCGATGATACAGCAGCGAAGCCCAGAAATCAGGTTGTACAACATAAAAAAGATGGTCAACTTTTTTTTCTGAATAAAGAAGTTGAAGTCTTTTCTGATAATCGATCTGGAGTATCCTTTGCTAAATTTGGCAACTGGCTGTAGCTCTTCGTGATATCTTACGCAAATTGTCCTAGCAGTGACAACAGTCAAGTTGTGAAGTATCTTCACGAACGGAAAGGCACATCACCATTTGCACACAAATAATCAAGTCCACACACGTTTGCCCTCCACAGTTGTCAAAATGTGATACACGCACGTGCTCGAGTTCTGTGATGTCCAAGCTGTCAACATTCAAGCATTATAAGCCTCGCGCGCGCGAGTAATTTGATGACCCCGATCTCCGGCTCCTTAAATGGTACTGTAGGCGGGGCCATGTGTGACCGAATTTATTTCAGCCTTTCTGTATTGGTTACGGCGCGCGAGTTACTTTGCACTATTGGCAAATCAGAGATCACTTACGTCAGTCACTTACATTTCGTTGAATTATGCATGTTCTGCGGAATCGTAAGCGCCATTGCTGTTCACATGGTTCAGTGACTGCACTCAACGTTCAGCGTTAAGTGTGTTTACCCCAGCACTATGGATACGTGCATACACATCTACCTTTCCGGTTAGAGCACGTCTACGTGTTGCGCACTTAGAACATTGTGGCAACACTTGTGCGTGTCAAACTACGAACCCCGTGCCAAGAAATACAAACGCAGAAATTTCTAGTTCTATCTCTGCCATTTGCCCTCCACTTCCAATTTTCCATTTTGGTATTTTTAATTGGTAAATGGTAAAACTGACTGCATCGTTATGCTCTAAAGGAAGGTTTTAAATCATAGGCCTATTATTTACCGGCAGAACAACCAACTCCGTGGGTTGAATCAGTATCTCCTGTGTGTAGGCTAAGCGTCGGGTTTTTCGCTCTGGCCGCTCCAGTTCCATGAGTCGGCTCGTGCTTAGTTTTAATGTCCAATGTTCTGCATTTATGCTCATTGCCATTTTGGACTCGTGTATTTTATTCCCACAATACTCTCCACCCGTTTATATTAGCTGCATGCAATTGTAAAACAACTTGCGTAGTTCACAATACGTTTTTGCCAACCTCTTATTTTTATAAGAGATTGATTTATTCATGTAGATCTACCAAAATTGCATTCAAGTTATTCCATCCCACTTGGGATAAACGTTTTGGTGCAAAAATTAAGAGTGTAGTAAAAAAAATAATAAACGATGTGCCATGGCGACGGTAGCTATTTTCATGCTAAATTTGACATATTCATTCACCTGATGTTTACTTCGAAAATAGGGATGAGTTTTGATTAATTTTGAATGATAGTATAAAAAGGATTTATGCCCAAAAACTCAACAATTTGTGTGGTTTTCAAACGTCTGTACATGCAAACTACCTGATTAAACGAATCTGTTTACTTCAGTGTCGACATTAATCATAACACGCAAGAGGGTGGGGACATTCCACAATGGACGGAAACAAAATATTTTGCAGCCGAATGTAAGTGGGCCCTGGGATCCGCCGAGCACGACTTTGGCCGGTATCGTCATCCTCCGAGTCGAATCGCAGGTTACCACTAGGAGAACACGCGGAAGGCGGTCAGCCCGCACATCCGCCGATATCGTTCAGCCCATAGTCGGGCCACCACGCGTGTGCTACGCGACGATATGTTGACAGACAGGATGTGCGGACGGACATAGGCAAACCTCCGGATTTCCACAGATTGTGAATTCAGGACACAGAATGATTAAAAATTTGTTTAATAATAGTTTTTAAAGAAATAGTAAGGTTAGCTGTTCTGGTCCACATATACATCCGGTTCCCTGGTATTTGAAATGGCAGCTTGGGGGTAAGGGGTCTGACACACCCCTCCCCCATTTTCTCTCGCCTTCCAGGCCCTGGGTTGTTCAACTCTACAACTACATGTATTGTGTGTACATTTTGTTTGACTCTGAGAACTAAGTCGTTGAAGTATCCCCCCGCAAAAATTTGCTGTCACCACTGCATCTGGCTGCAGGTGGGTCCAAGGAACTCGTGGTGCGCTACAAGATGTAAAGATGATAATTGGGAATGTATGCACCTGCCCAGTCTGGACCCACGCTAACATAAGGTATAGTTTACGGTGAATATCTACAATTCAACCCCGGTGTGAGTAATTTGGAAGTGAACATGTTTCTGTCATCGGATGTCTGTTTGGAAAGCACTGGAAATTAGAATTTAGTGTTTGAAAATATCAGTTTCAACACCGTAGTTGACTCGTTCGGGTGTTTCGGTGTTGTGTTGTTGCAATGCCGCTGACTTCATAAACAAGAGCAATCTTTTTGAGAGCGTTTGGTATGTTTCCCACAAAAGTGTGCCACACTTAAGTTGTAACTCATACCTAAAGGCTTTGTTTATTTCGACACCGACCCTTCACCACAAAAACATGCAATGTGGCCAGTGCGGTCTCCTTTGCTCAAAAGCCCACACCTAACACCAGTCTACCGCTGGAGGGCGTGCGTGATTCTTTGTCCCTTTGGACGCACGCTCGTGGTCTGTCAGTGCGGCGTCGGTAGAGACCCCCTGTTGTACCCTTCCGCAGGGAATTTCACTCCCTGTCAAGACATATATTTCATGTTTGCTTGATTTAATAGGAGAGGACTTACCAAGTCACTGTTATTTCAAGTACAGTCGGCACTGATCAGGCCACGAAGGGGCTCACGTGCATTCGCGAAAAATACGCACGTACTTTTTTAAATACATTTAGATGTACATGTATTTTAGTGATTGGCAAAATGACGACCTCCAAACCTATTTATCAATATATTTTCATTATTTTGTCAGCGAGTGGGTTTGTTTTAAGTGTTTCAGCGTCCACGTTTTTATTCATTTTTGTATGCCATTCTGTATAACAGGTTATTGCGCGACTGCAGTAAAATTAAAAAATGCCACTCTCGTGACAATAAACAAAGATACAAGCTCTGTTCATTTTCAATACGGATGTCAACTCGGTGTTTAAAGGATGCTTGCAGTTAATATGCAAGGTAATAATATGAAACCAAAATTTGTTTTGTGATATTTGGGATTTGGAAATTATGAACCGGCTCGCGCCCCAACCGACAAAATTGGGGAAAATGTACAAATTGACGCCAAAGGCAACGGTGGCGGAACAGGTTTAAAAGTGGAGGGGGTCAGTTGTGAGACCATTAGGCATCAACCATTAACAGGCCGACCCATCAAGCCCCACCCCATTATAGGACCTGCAAAAAATGTGGGGGTACGCCCCCTACGTCAAAAAGTGCCCCCCCCCCCGCTGCCGCCGCCAGTGGCTAAAAGGGGAGGGCTCGAAATATTGGTGGGGGAACGAGCCACGCCTTTCTCAGTCTGCCTATTTTTATCGAATTCGTGTGTGTTCAGACTTAATTTCGTCGTCGGGGTGTCCGGAGACGTGTAGACGAAAGTGGTCACCGAAGGAATGCGAACCAGTTGGTCCTGTCGGAAAACTATCGATCTGATTTAATCATCATAATTAGTGTAGGCCCGTAGTTATAATGTAATCATCATTCTTGGCCAAAAAAATACAAAAAAATCAGTAAACGTCAGTCCACCATTAAGCTGACATTTCGGATACAGTGATACAGTTGTTTGACATTCTCCAGAACACCGAACTTGTCCAATCAACAAGAAATCGGGGGGGGGGAGAATTTTAAAACGCGAGCGATCACATGCTATTTCTTCCTTGTACCTCATCGAACTCATTGCGCCGATAAATAAAGTTTGATTGAGTACATGGTTAAGAGTACAAGGCCGTCCTATGCAGCGGTTACTGGCTGACCTCCTTCTCATCCTCAAGTGTACCTCTGAGTTGCCGTCCATGCTCCACCCAAGTCATAAAACTGTTCGAGAAAGACAGGGAGGTTGAGTCTGAAAAAAAATGGACACATTGTATTATTGCTCAGTTGGTGTTTTCAAAAGAATCCGGTAAAATAAGATGAATCATTATTTTCAAAGTGCATGTTAGAAATGGTTTCCAAATTTGGTGCAAACTGCTACACTCCCATCCTCGCTGTCCAAAGTACGGGCTTTACAGTACGGTTGCATGGTGAAGGAGTTCGTCTTTAACACTGGAATTGTCTTCAAGGCTGCATCTTTTTTTCTCTCTTTTTTCGTGAGCACACGAGACTTATCGGTGTATCCTCCTTGAGATCATGTGAGTAGGCCTACTTGTAATAAGCATGGATGTATTAAGTAAGGGTAGCACGAAACTTTCAGGAAACGGGGTGATTTGGGAGGTTGGACAGGCCTCCTGTAGGGTTGTTGTATGTTCGGTTAAGGACAAAACAAAAGCATTGTCTTTGAACAAAGACAAATACACTCACCCCCCCACACACACACACAAACGTGCGTAAAACAAGAATAAACCATGCAGCATCCTGGACCCGCCCGCCCCTGCTTCATTTTCCGTAGCTAAAATTGTTGGGGGTGACTTGCATTCTCGTGAAAGGTTTTAGTCCACAAGAGCCGGGCTTGCTTTGACATTTTCTGATCACCTTTTCCAAGACACGATGCCGCCTTCACAGATTAGGTTCATAATAGGAGCTACTTCAGCATGCTACAATACAAATCCTCGAAGTACTGATAATAGACTCAGAATTGATCCAAACAAGGATACCTCCGTGCTTGAGGGTGTTTCTGAATCATCACCACCCCAAGTCGCCCACGGAACTTTCGCGGTGAGACCTAACACATGTATTATCATCATCGACTCCCCAAGGGGAAAAACGACCCGGCGTCGGTGACGGTGCTGTGGCGCGGCGGCCGGGGAGGTTGTGCCCGAAGCAAGCGGAAGTTTTTTAAAACGGCGCCGGATCCGCGCTTTAGATTGAAAACAGTTTCAGCGCCCGGGTCGTGTGCCAAGTTGATTTTTTTTCCCTCCCCTTAATTTAATACATGCGAGAGTCCAAAGATTTCATTGGCCTGGTCCGAGTTATTGTTCCAATATGTTAGGAAGCTTCTAGTTCCCCCATAGGATAGAATTGAATAGTTGGGAAAGGGTTTCGGAAAACAAACCAAGCGAACAATCTACATTGCGGCGTGAAGAATTTTGAAATACAAACAATTGTAGAACGTTTGTTATTAAAATAAGTGAAACGGTATGGGTATTGTTTAAGGAAATAGTTCAAAGCAGCAAATAGCCACAACTTGATAGGAAACAGCCTTTTTTCCTTATTATCGAATAAATCTCTAACTTAAATGTTCTTGTCAAAGGTTATCACATAGGTATAATCTTGCCAAATGCGCTGGTGTGGAGTGACCTCATTAATATACTTAACACTCGGTAGGTTAAGTTGTCCAGCTTGGGAGAAACTTTATTTGAACAATTTATTCGTAATGTTTGAAAGAATTCAAATTTATCAATGCTATGGAAAGGTGGTTTACATTGTGTATTTAAATTTCAAAAGTTTGCCCTTCAAATAGTCTGAACTGTGTGCACAAGTAGTGCAAGTGTACACAGGCCTTTCCAACGCTTCATGGAGAATTGAGGAGGAAGCGCACGGAGTGGCATGGTCACTATGTTATGGTCAAATTCTCGGAATTTCTTCAGGTGGTTTACCGCCTTACGTAATCATAGAGATAGTAGTCACCTCGACAGTTCTCTTGGTCCTTTAAAATAGGTGTTCAACACCGACAAATTATCTTATAAATGTGTCAAAGTTCTAAAAGGCATCATTATAAAAGGCTATTGGTAGACCGATGTTTTGGTCATTTTCGAAGAATTGTTTTTGAGGTTTTGCATTTTCAAAGTCGATGACTCGTCCAGCTGACCATGGGGCTGTCCACAATGTAAAAATAGCATAGGAGTCTTGACACGGTCAGAACCACTCGTTGTCCGTGCGCAAGAGAGGGAGTGCTAGAATCGTTTTTGTTGTGTGCATTACGCGCACTTAATAGTGGATCACCCCTTACTGAACTTGTGCCGTGGTTGTCAGAGATTGAGAATGGAAGGACAGCTTATCGCTAGACGGTGGGAGTTCGATCGTCGCGCCACCTCGCTGACAGAGTGCGGAAAGAGGATTATATCTACTTCCACTTGACAGGGGAGGCTCGGGACGGTCCGAGCGAATGATTTAGTGTGCATTTATCAGTTCCTTCTTTAAACATTGACTTTGCTATGGTAACTAGGTTTTAAAATTCCAATACCTAATGCCGACTGCCCACCTGCAAACTATTTTGTTGTATACAGTCGAAGGATTGTCCTGAGAGGGCGATTTATAGGCCTGCGTGGCTTTGTCAGACTGACACGGCCGCGGCTGCAAATGAAATGTTTCTGTATGAGAGTCGTTTGCCAAAGAATGCCAAATAACTTGTGTACAAGTGTCACTCAATGCAATGTGCTCTCAAACATACAACGATATCCATTTCCCCTTCTCGTGACGCCCCTGGTTGTCACTGATGAATGTATTCAATTTCAAAGCCCTCCCCGAAATTTGCTGCGAATCCCAAGGCTATTATTATACAATGGTGCAAAATTTGAGTTGGGAAATTGTAATGTTGGTTTCACAATACTCCTGACCCTTTAATCATCAAAATGGACTAAATCTGAGCTGAGAGAGGGAGAAGGATCTTCTACCAACTTTAACATCCCAGTGTTTCTGTTTTCGTTGGTTAAATTTCGCCGGAGTGTGTTACTATAACACGTTGCTCTGTAGGCTTTCACGGAAGTGGGTTCCGTGTCGTAGTTGTTTGTCTTGAGGGCCGATTGAGTTGGCGCCGGATGTATTTTATCACACCACCAACACCGTGACTGTTGACGGGTATGAAACCACGTCAAATTAAAAAATTATGAAACACAGAAATGGAAATAAAACTATGAATACAGATATTTATAAGCATATAACTTTTATTTTTTCACGCGAAAGGGTGAACATTTAGTTCAGCATTTAAATGTTCTCTGTATAAAATGTCAGACGAGGTAAGCTCAGTGATGGTGGACATTGGTGTAAAGCTACAAATTAGGGGATAGACATGCGCAGGCGCAGGCCTATCCCCCCGGAAAAAGGTATTGTTTCAAACTTCAAGACACCCATTACAATAAAAAGGCGAGGCTCCCAAGTAGGCTTTCCCTACGTGGCTTTCGCAGTAACTCCAAATATTTGCTCAGCACTTTGATGCCAAACTTTTTCTGTATTAACATCCGGGATTGCTTGTAATTACTTTTTTCCCTTGTTGATCAAGAAAATCTTGGACGCAAACAAATTGTATTTTGTATGTTTGACCCCCAAAGTAGTTGGACTTTCAATCTCAATCCCGCACCCTACGAAAGATGTCATGTCCACTTTAAGCTGGGTGTAACAACCGCCTCTTCGATGACATGTTAGATCAGTCTAGTAAGTAGGGCTACGGACAATGCACGTTTGACAAATATTATCTACATCGTTGGCTTTCAAATGGCAAGAAAAGGCCTTTGGTGTGCAATTAATGTTCGCTGATTCAATAGCACTCAGGCCGATACGAAATAGGCACACTTCACCTGATTTGCGTATCACGGAGTAAAAGTCGAAGTGCATTTTGGTCGAACTTGAAACCTGCCAGTTTGGATATCCGGGGGTCTTACTAATCCAAAGCAAAACATCTTTGTACTTCCGTTTGACGTCCGGCGACACTTTCCCGAATTCGAGGAATTTCCGGGCTTCATTAAACTAAATTCACTCTTTCCCGTGAATTCCATCAAGTCTGCAAAGCCACCCAGGCGATAGCAACATTGTTACAACTATTGATAATAAATTTCAGACTGTATGTGTACCTCTGAACCCGATCTGTTTTCAAGTGGTTTGTTGTTTTCACAAAGTCCGTGTTCTCGAAATTTATGAGCGTAAAACAGGACCTAGGGACCTCATAGTTCTACCCACTGGCTCTTCTGGAGAAGGCGGAAAATGATACTAGTGACGATGACGTTTGACTCGACTCTACAGAGAATCGATGGTGGTAGATGGGTTAAGGCGCAGCGTGTGACGTGCATATTGGCAGTTGTGCAACTTGTGCAATAAACAGTGAAAATTGCGAAAACACGTGTACAATAAAATTGGGCAGCCAGCTTAACCGAAGATGTTCCAGATATTGTCTAAGCCATCGTCAGTTTTTACTGAGTTACTGTTCAGATGGAAAGGATGAACATATGGGATCAAATCATTGTGAAGTTTTCCCAAATGGCATTGTTTTAGTTTAAGTATCAACTGGGATTTGATGTAGAAAAGAAATCCGGTCTTGCAGGTGCGCTCGCTAGCAAATGCCGCCGGTGCTTAGTACACGAATACTGCAATTATGACTTCTTCAACAGTACAAGCTTATAAACTTCACAAGTAGGGCCTAACTTTTTCTCCTAAGAGTACGTGTTTTCCATGGATGATGAGTTTTGCAGGGGGGGTTGCCTTTAAAAGTAGGTCTCCTCAAGCTAGTATGGTGAGTTTCGGCCGCATGAGGTTTCTAATGAGTTGCCAAAAGATTGCAAAACTGGCAGCAGGGCTCGCTGTGTGAATTATGAAATGGCAGGCTGTGCTGTTTGCATTTATTCCGAACGGCCTCGACTGGATGTTGGCCATTGAGGGAATTACCAGGAATTTTGGTGGTCTTCTACCGAGGACGGAGGATTATTTTTGTGCCCACCTTTGATGAAAAAAAAAAACTTTCAAATTTTCGAGCACACATAGAAATAACACATTGTTAGAGTCTTTACTTCAATGGCTTATGTGCGAGTGTTGACGGTGATGATCAAGCCCGCCCTCTACAATTTAATCTCCAGTGGAAAGATCGTAATAAAAATGGAGTGAACGGTGCGTACCCCCTCTATAGTTCAAATTTTAACTTATGACAGTTACCCTGACGACTTATACTGTACTGTAGTAGGATCTTAAACTTGGGAGCCAGATTAAGTTTTGTTGTTATCCGGATCATGTGGCGCTGCACGGGCCACAAACCCGCGTAATTTGGTCAGTGTCTGACGCAAAGAACCTGCATCTGAAAAACCTCACTAACGTCAGTGAATGACGCCTTCAGTGCACAATTTTGATCATTAAACCATCCAATTAATTACCTTATTTAAAGAATAAGGTAAGTATAGAGCGGAAGACTCAGAGATTTGAGCAAACAGTCACAAAAACATTTCAGGGAACAGTTATATTCCCTACCATCAGACCTAGCCCAGGTGGACTCCTTGACCGTACTACGTTACAGACAACGTCCAACCTGGGCTACCACCAGACCATGCCTAGGCTACAGTGACCTGAAGGGAGGTGATATTTTATTTAGGCCTACCTGGCATATTTATACCAAACGATATTTTGCCAGGAACATGCCAAGTAGCTGTGTGTGTTTTGTTTTGTTTTTAGGACTTCTTACCGTGACAAATCTAGCTTAGTCTGGTCTATTTCGTCCTCCATGCAGGGCTGGTTTTGCCATGTGTGTACCAAACATCACATAACCCCAGAAGTGCAGAGTCTGGACCCCACAGTTCTGGTGGTAACCATCTCAGGTGTGACTTCACACAGTGCTTCCACTGTCCTTATTTTTGCTTTCGAAGGAAATTTTTAGGAAAGGAAAAAATCTCAGGTATTTTTAGGAAATCCCCCAAATCTAAAGAAATTCTAAGGAAATTATGAAATTCTGAGCAAATTCTACAAATATTCAAAAAACTTAGCAGTAAAATCTACATTTCAAACTCTGCCAGATTTAGGATGACTAGAAACAAGACTAGTAGAATAAAACTTTCTGTTTGTGCGCACAAGTTTATCCGTGTCATTCAGATCAAAGATAGTATAGCGCTGCGCGGCGTACGCTGACCCATTTTTGATTCAGATCAATATCACCACCAATGATGCACACAGTCTGAGTTTTTTTGTTCAAGACCGTGAGCTTGAGCATTGTATTGACCTCTGCTTATCATCTAGCAAACAAAAATAGTAGTTTTGGTGGTATATATGGCTTTTTGGTGGTTAACTAAAAAATATGAAAATCTGGAGGAAATAAGGAAATTTGGCTCTGGGGCTAGGGAAATTTTCATTTTGACTGTGGAAGCACTGATTTCACACATGTATTCATGATATGCATGAGGTGGGAAACAGACCATTTTGCAGTTGTGATTTTTTTTTTTAATTTAAGACATCCTCCAGAGCCATGAATCAGAAACAGAAAATGCAAAAGTCTGTAATTAAGGGATGGACATGATGGATTCAATTTGAAATGAGCAGAAAAGTATATTCTTATTTTTTTGTGTAAGATAAAAAAGAAACAATCACTGAGAATGTAACCCAGCTGGGAGTGTGTTGTGATCTCAAGATTTAGGCACTGACCACAGACCCTATGAATCTGGAGGTAATTTTATAGGCTTACTCGTGCATATATCTCAAAGAGGGTGCTGTACTTGTAGCTGGCTGAAGACCATAATTTTTGCAAGCGACTACTAAATGTACATGCAACCCTATGGTTTTTTTAAACCTGCCCCTTTTATTTTGTTTTTCATAGTCGAAATTCTTTACAGTGCAAAATTATGTAGGCCTAAAAAGTATCATGGAAAAGGCAGTGTTTGTTGTCAGCATGAGCAGTGTTACACAAATTTTAGTTTACAACCAGAACTCAATAAAGTGGAGCAAAGTACCCTCTAATATTGAGCAATGTAAGATGAAATGTTGTCATTATTGTGATGCATAACTAACCAGTCTACTTTGATGGGCTTAAAAATGGAAAATTGGCCAAAATGTGGAGTTTACAATAATGATGGCACTCCCTCGGACCCTCGCAGTAATAAAGCTAACAACGCATCTTGTGAGGTTAATGCACACGTACAGTATTTCAAAAAAGGCATGGTCATCCAAACAAAGTACGCGCTGCGCTGACTTCGCACACGCATCTGAATGACCTTGGACGCACTTCATTTTAGACATGCTCTGTTGGAATACGGAACTGGCTGATTGACCACTTAATTAAGGAAGTACAGGTAATAAGAACAATGAGCTGGATGCAGTTTTGATTAAACCTAACAGTCCTCAGTCCTCCAACAGGTGAAGGCTTGAGGACTGTTAGGGTTAAGGGAACCTCCCATCTGCCATTTTAATTAAAATTATGAACTGGCTTCAGTGTATTTACATTCATAAGAACAAAATTTCTTGTATTTCTAATTCTTAAATTGTTACTGTGTCCAACAGACATGATCTTAGTGTCATTTCAAATCTAATTTTATGGTTATATGTGTGTGTAAAATTGCTGTATCAAAAACATGAATGTTTTGGATGCATACCTACACAGTCAGAGGTTCCAAAATATTGCTGTGATCAATATCTTTTTGCTTTAAAGGGTAGCTGCAATCAATATGTTTTAATACAAACCTTCAAACGCATCTCTGTATCTGAGTTAAGCTTTTTTCCACTTTTGTTTCAATGTTTCAAAAGGAATGTTACTGCCTTTTTCATTTTTATAGTAATGAGTATTTTCATATTCACGAGCAAAACTGATGTTATCCCAGGAAGAAAGCCTCAATGTTACATTGGTTTGTACACAAAAAGTATTTTTGTAGATTTTGCTGGACTAATGTTTGTTTTCTTTGCTGATTTCTTCTTGTTTATGTACACAGCAATAAGCAAGCAACAATCTCAGAAATGTTTTCAGTTAGTAAACTTTGGGTTCACGATTTCCACAGAAAAACCTATGCACTGAACTCTGTCTTGCCTAGATGACACAATAGCCACAGCGCCCTCAGTTGTCAAGGAAAGCTTGAATATGTTTAAAGTTTTAAATTGATAATGCATTTAACCAAATATGAACGTAAAAGAGTTTTCACACAGTGAAGAATAGTACAAAGTTGTAGAAGAATTGTGTTGAGGTCACTTGGTAACCCAAAGCACCATTTCCAGGTAACTTTTGCCAGATTAGACACATCAGAGGTGGTTCTTAACGCCACAGTTCTATTTCAAAATTTACCACTGACTAGATCCATTCATTTAACTGGGGTGCTTCATTTTTTTTTCTCTCTATTTTTGACTTTGAGAGTCGTACCAGTGGCTCTGCGAAAAGCCTGGATTTTAGGGTAATGTTGCTGGCACATGCACCCCTCACTGAGCCCAAAAACGTGGGCAAATGACCACAGAAAATCGACAAAATTCCTTCAAAATCGCCTACCAGATTCACCACGTGTCAAAAGTGAACAAGTTTGACTACAATATGGCACATTGCAGTCACATTTCTACAATGGAAATGTAACCAAATTTCACTCACTTAGCTTTCTGCCAAACAAAATATTGTTGGCTGTACTATGCAGGCAGCGACATGCGCAGGCCCATCAGGACATTCCGGTCGCCGACTGTCCTGTGAAGCACCTCACGCTGTCAATGTAACACTTACATTGGTGTCCATTGTGGGCTCGTGCTACCCACCTCTCCTGCTTGAGCCTTTTATAATGTCACAAAACAGGTGTCCAAGTGTCCTGACAAACACCTACTCTACTTGTTTTACAGCCTAAAGTTAGGTCGTACATTCATGCCCATCATTTGTGTACAGTAGAGTAGTATTTGTTAAGCATCTACAGTGTACATCTATATATCGTTGTGGTATTCACTTGGCAGTTACACATGCCATTAGCGTGCATTTATGACTGTCATTTTCCCTTGACTCAAATCATCAATTACTGAGTGTGTCTAAATTTAGCAGAGAATGATTTAACAGCACAGTACTGCACCAGTAAATACTGTCTAGTCTAGCTGAAATTTTTCTGCCCGACCTCCTTTAAGAACACACCTCAAAGTAAGTGGTCGCAGATGGTTGGACCTCTGATGGTTCATCATCCCTCAGTCATCACATGCTCTATTTGAGCAAAACTCATGGGCCTTCAAATGCACCATTACCTGTGACTTCCCTGTCTTTCTAATGTTCAACAGCTGAGCCATAGCTTGGAACAACAGTTCAGTCCAGGACCACTAGTTGACAAGTGGTTAGTTAGCGATGATTGATGCATCTCAATAATATATGGGCTCATTTACACAGTGAGCAGTAGGGAATATTCCATGCCCTTAAAGATATCCAGCACAGTGGTTTCCTACAGGAATTTAGCTGTTTCCACTAGAATATATTATCAAACAGTACTGGCAAAATTGGCAGTGAATAGTCTGGTTTGTAGTCCCTGCATTTTGGTTTGGACTGTAGAGAAGTGTCTCATAATAATCATAATAGCTATCTGTCAATCTGGGAAAAAATTATTCAGGACATGCAGGCTTTTGCTTGTTTAGAAGTTCCAACCCCCCTTTTATTTCACAGATTTTAACACTAGTGAATAAATCTTTAGAATTCCACCAAAGCATCCGGCACAACAGAATGCTTCGATACATGCAGCACCAAAGGGTGACAGTTTCAAAAACGTAACATTGCATGAGAATAGACAGGCAGTTACTTTAATCCTAGATGAAACAGTGTTGTAGAGCTGGCCTAGTCTGTGATATCACCAGTTTGTGTGTCTGCGTTTTTTTTTCACGTTCCTTCACATCTACTTACAGTTCTAAAGTTTAGAACTTTGATCCTACGCTGCACAGGTATTGCATACACTTATATGAAACTGCGCCCCATCTGACATTAGCCAGTATGCTCCCTAGCAGCTCTGGCCTTCACAAACTCTGCTTTCCTACTTAAAATCAACAATGCCCAAGAGAGACAAGAAATATTTAACCTTTTCACACCTTCAAAAGGAAAACCACCTTAGGTGGTGATTGTACGTGGGTAATTCCAGAAATTAGGGGTCCATTTTTTTTTGGTGGTCCCTGTCACATCTGAGGTATGATTTTGTAAGTTCAGTACACATTTTCTAATTTCCAAGAGGGATGAATTAATGCAAATTACCTGCCAAACAAATAGTAGTAGTTTGAAATCAATGCCGGTGATATTTCCATGTCAAATAACAAAGGTCAGATGTAACAGGGACACAAAAATGTCACACTTTTGGACCCCTAATTTCTGGAATTACCCACATATCTTTGCGTCACTGTAGGACCCTATGTGCCAACTTCAAGTGTAGCCCTGTTCCTTACATACTTACATGTACATGTATAAGTTAAAATCGAATTTGGTTTGTGATAAGATTCCTCATCTCTGTTTTTTTAGTCAACACCTAAATGTAATTGCATGTCAAGTGCTTGTACAGGAATTTCTGAAGAAGGCCTTTAAATCTACATTCCGTAGTAGATAAATCTTTTTGTTGACTCATTTCAAGGCTGATTTGTTTGCTTGTCATCACCTTGTTTGCTGTTTTGCCACTACGGGATTGCACTTTGTAGAAACTGCTGACTAGCAGAATTTGGAAATATGAAACTTCTCTCAGTAACGGTTGCTGTCGCCGGAGCTATGTTTGCAGATCGTTGTGTTTTTAGGTTTTCAAGATTTCATGGATTTGTGTAATAAAATGAATAAGAACCAAGATGGAGGTGCCGTGGAGAATGTCTCTACAATGATTCTCTTCTGGACAGTTGTTTTGGCACAGTTTTTGCACGATTGAACAAGTTCTTTGAATTTTTGTACATTTCAGTCAAAGATTTTTACCAAAGGAAAGTTTTGTGTGCATAGAGTCCAAAGTTAAGGCCATCGTTTATTTATGCATATATGGAAGTCCAATCACTCTGAGACCTAGCCTAAGATGGTTTGGGGAATGTTTACAGACTGTATCAGCAGGAGTGATAATGATGTCAGTGTGAAGTGTGATTTATAAGAATGGCTTAGGCTTTATAATTACAATCTTCTGCAATTTTAGAAATGGTGCCACATTTTACATTTCTAATAGTTATAACAGCATGGGTCTTACCTTACTAAATTTGAACCCAGAAGGTGTTGTTTTAACTTTTGTTTTAACTTTACCCGTCTCTGTGCTTGACTTCATGTGAATGACAGGTTTTAGTTAACTCACTGAACCAACCCTCAAGGTTAATTCTGACTGCCTTAAGTGTTTATGCAGACTACTAGCAGACTCTGCTGTCAACTGAGTTTTGACCTTTAACCCATTTTTCATCACTAGATCACCCGTGATCAGAGTCCTTCCTACTTCACAGGGCGCCCTGTCCAATCACAGACCAGGATTTTCAATAAGCCCGACCAGAGTATCAGATAATGAATCCAATACGCTCTTGCAGTCGCTATGAATACTTGGACTCAGATTCAGGGGCTGCTATGCCTGGCGAGGAAGAAGATTCATTTATTGCCCCACACAGCCAGTCCAGAGCTGGAAGTCAACCAGCCAGTCCCCTTAGGTCAGATTTGAAACTTAGCGACCCCAATGCAGGAGTAGACATCAGGAAGGATAGATCACCCACAATGCATCTGAGTAACAAAACAATTGCTGTGATCGCCACTATTGTAGCAGCATGCATTGGCATCGGCATCGGGGTGATCATTGGCTGGTTCTCCTCCCAAGCTCAGTTCCCCAAAGCTGAGCCTTGTGAGACTGGATGGAGTGATGCCTTGAAAGAAGAAGACAAGAATGTAGGAAAGGTGCTAATGAACGAGATGCAAGCTAGCAACATGAAAGAATACCTCAGGTAGGATGTGCTGATACCTGTATCATCGGGAGTTATGATTTGAGAGGTACACATAGCAGTAAGTTGCATGTTATGGATTTCCTTCACTTTAGTAAGACTGTTTACTAATACCTAAAGGTCCAATGTTAAGTAACCTAACAGTTACCCTATCACTGTTTGGCTTACTCATACTTTGTTACTCTTTTTTTTACTCAAGTATTACTGTTGCCAGTTACATGCTTTGATTCTTTGGTGTTAGACAAAAATAAAGTTTCTAGGGACTTGGGAGTAATGACTGAGGAGCTTTTCCAGCGAATGGGGTGGAGTTAATCTGTTCAGTGGGGAGGGGTTAATTGGCTATTCTGAAAGTACTAGAAGGAGGCAATTACATTTTGAAAACCTTTTTTTTTATGTCGGTGTGATACATCTTCCACTTGTGTAGGACTAGTGCTTGTTTGCCCTCTACTGAAGGATGCTGTGGCAAAGCAAACATATACATTGCAAATGTGGGGATTGAAAGATAAAGAACTGTGTTAGGTGGGACAATGCCAATGCGTAGATTTCTCAGCAAGTTAATACACGAGTCAATCGGTATGGCGTATCAAAGTTGATTTTTGTACCGTACTTGATTTTGTTAATTAGAGTCCACCTTTCAAGGGTACCGCATCAGTTCAATTGCACACGTGTCACGATGTTTGGTTAGTGTTACGAGCATCATACAGACAGTATTCAACCAATTCCAAGGAGACCATAGCAGCTGTTGTGTTGGTTTAATTGCAATCTGATGGCATACATTTATTCCCCCAACTATCAGTAGTTCAATTGGGCGAGGGTTGATATTGTGTCAGTCTTTATCAGAGCTTTTTGTTTGTTTGTTCAGAACTCCCCCCCCCCAAAAAGTAGGGATTAGGGCATATTCAGTTGTACGAGATAAAAGAATGTAAAAAGGAAGTTTGGTTTTATTTTTAAGATTCTTTTACTCGTACAACTTGCAGTAGTTAAATCTCAGTAACTGCAAATGCTGCTGCCTTGATTTGGAGTTATGACAGGCAGAGGTGTCTTCTTTGTAAGAAGCTTGTTGGGTTAGTTCTCAACCTGCTTTGCAAGTAAAGGCCTTGTCGTAGTTTTCAAGCCAGTATGTCACACAATATGTGTCTCCTCAAATCTTACAATCCTGTATCTCAAGGACGTCAGAGTGTGGTCATAGGCAGGTCAGTTACAGCTCCAAAGTCCAAGTGTGTTTGATTTTGGTTTGATTTAATGGCAGGCAAATAAAACAAAGGAGAAAAAAACAGTTTTTCTCTGATTAATTTTGTTTTCTCTCAAGTAAGTTTTGGTTTTCCACTGGAAAAAAAGATGCCAGCTAATGGTGGACTGGTTGTAGTGACTGAAAATGGTCTTTCCACAGTAAAGGGTACTAAAGTGTGACATAGGATTAGAAAATAAATCCAAATGATAAAAATCAAGCTACTGGTTTTTGTCCAATCCCCTTGTACCACTACATTCCAAAATTCCCACACCATTGTTGAAGACTATTGCTAAGAAGTTCCAAGCAAACTTTACTATGCTACAGAAGGGTTGTTAATTTTGATAGGAATTTATAATTACAATAAATGTATTTACCCAAACATTGTGCTTTACAAACAATTGTGTCTTACAGATAAAGAAAATTGTGTTTATTTTGGCTGTTGACAATCCTAAATGGGTTATGAATATAAATGAGTTATATATAACGGTTTGCCCGTACCCAACGTATATTAATAAATACATCTTGAAAATATAAATGAGTGATATTTGGGTAATTTATGCACATGATAAAATACCTTGTTAATTTATAGCCAAACCTCTGTCCTTGTTGCACACGTGTATGTAATTATTTTCAGTATTCCCTGTATTTTCTTTTTCCTGTAATTATTCAGAAAGCTAACATCCACTCCCCATCTAGCAGGGACTCCCGCAGACAAAATAAATGCAGACTATGTCAAGAATGAATGGATCAGCTATGGCCTTGAACCTGTTCGACAGAATGCCTACAATGTTCTACTGTGTTATCCAGATAAAGAAAAGCCCAACTATGTAAGGGTTGTCAGACCATGCATTTAGCAGATTGATTGCAGAAATCTGTTGCCCACATTTTGTCTTATAATGTAGCTTCTACAGGTGGTCAAGTCACTGGTGGTTATCATGTCGATCTGTATAGCTGCTTTATCAATTTAACTAAAAAGTTCGGAAGAAGGGTTATAAACTATCAAGGTTCTTAGTTTCAGGTTTGCTGCACTTTCGAAAAGGGGAGGAAGTGAGGTTTGCAGGTGACCAAGTTGTCCAACAAGTTTATTTCTTGACTTGCTTTTTGCTTTTGACGATTGGTTTGTTAGCTTGTGGTTGTGTGCATGGCAGGCTTTCACAGATGTACAGACAGGTTTACTGTGCATAAATGCAATTCTAGTGTGGAAAGATGTGAAGCAGTTCACAGGACAATGGTTGGTTGGTCAGCTGGTCAGGTTGTCGTCAGTCGGGTAGTTGGTTGGGCAGTCAATCTGATGGTTGGTTGGATGGCAAGTCAATGAATGACTGAATGAGACAATTACTATATGTACCATGGCTTTTGTTTGATGGGTGGAGTTTGGGAATACATTAGTTCATGAGATGCACATCCTGTTTTTGTATTATCCCCAGAGGTAAATGTACATACATTTGTATCCAAAGCCTTGCTCTGAAGCCTTAATTGTGCATGCACAGGAATTTGACATCAAATAACATTCAGGAAGAGATTGCCACAATGGTGTTTCTTTTCAAGGAATGGTATTTACATGAAGTATGAGATTTGCTCTTTAAATTTTTTTTTCTCCCAGGTAAAAATCCTGAATAGTAATAATACCGAGTTCTTTAAATCTCAATCTGAAGAGCCACCATTAGATGTTGGGTCCATCAGCAATGACACTGTTCGACCTTTCAACGCTTACGCAGCAAACGGCACAGTAGAGGTACATGAAGCATAGCAGAAATGTAATTTCCATTTATGTCCGAAGAAGTGCTCATGTGCTAGCAATGGGGTACCAGGCTGCAGATCAGTGGGAATTTGTTTTTCTTCTGACGTGAGGAAAGCCCTGAGGGGATGGTTATGAAGTGGAAACCTGGGTACTTACTTCCTGCTGAACAGCCGCAAAATGATTAGATCCGCATTTTGGAGATTTCCAATTAGATGGAAGAGAATGTTGAATATTATGCTGATTGAGGTTTATGGCATCATTATGCTTCTAGCTTATTCCGCTGTTTCACATGAAGATGAGTAACACCAGTGATTTAAAAACAAAATGTCCTTTTTATGATATGAAGAATATTTACTGTGTTTAGCATTACTATGAAATTCCTGTTACCACAATTCCACCCTTTGTGTTATATTTTTGTTTGTTATTGGAAACATAAGAAACTTGCATGTGCTATTTTTAATGAGCAAAGAAGCTATCGTGTCCACATAACTTCCTAAAAATTCTTTTCACGTCGTCGAAGGGAGATCTTGTGTATGTTAATTATGGACGTGTGGAAGATTTCCAATATCTGGAGCGTACTCTCCACATGAATGTGACTGGGAAGATCGCCATTGCTCGTTACGGCAAGATCTTCAGAGGGGACAAGGTAAGCTGGAATCATGTTTACATCAATGAGTGAGGGTCTGTCAGGGTTTCAACCAACGTTTTAAACTGGGCATCCAAATTTGCCTAGAATCAAAAAGGGGGAGGGGACATCCAAGTTCGGAAATTGTATTCTTTTACATTCATACATTTTGTTAATAAAATGAGATGTCCAAACTGACCTCTAGCTTGTCAAAACTTACTTATCTGGCTAAGTACTTCGTATTGACAAAGAAATCAATCTCTATCATTTTGCCCATTTGTAAAATCTAGCAAGATGTGTTTCCAGCATTCAATCATATTGCATTAATTGCTTTTGGAGTTTGTTCTCGTGGACATTGAATTGTTAGCAATGTGTGTACTTTGGGCCTTTCTCAGAGTCAGAATGGAATACTAGAAACTTCAAATGGGATTCAAGTCCAAATCTTCCAGTGGTTAACAGTGCCAACATGTTGGGACATTCGAGCAATTGTCTCTATTAAGAATTCTGCGCAGTACATAGACACTGCAATCTATGACAGGTATAATTGGGAAAAAATGGATTGATCAGGAATTAGTCTTTTCACTGCAGCATCCAGGCTGTTTTTCAAAGCAAGGGGGTTTGTATTTTGACCCTGTAAAGATTTTTTGACCCTGTAAAGATATTCTGAAATTTTCCGCCCACAGACTTCCACAAAGTGCTTTCAGAATCTGTAACCAAGTTACGAATATATTGATCAAGGAAAATAACTTTTTTTGGGGGGGGGGATGGTGGGTTCCTTTAAACAGAACCACTGTACCCCTGGACCCTACCCTCTTAGACCCACTCACCTAGCCTGTTCTCGTTTGCCCTTGGATAGGCCAAGCAAGCCGAAACATTCGGTGCCGTAGGACTGATCTTGTACTCTGATCCAGCTGACTTTGCTGTGGATGGCATCTCCAGTGTTTACCCAGACTCCTGGTGGCTGCCAGGCTCAGGGGTCCAGCGGGGGTCACTGGCCGTTCAGCAGGGCCTTGGGGGTGACCCTCTCACTCCTGGTTACCCATCATTAGGTAAGGTACTTTCTCGTTACTCAAATTACGTAATGCAGCAATGTAAAACCAAGATTTCCTCCTACCAGTATGGTTGACACCACCTGTCTCGACAAATTGCCACTGAATTGTCCCCCGAATGAACGGTTATACAGATATGAAATATTATCAACATTGCGTCTTTTAAAAAAATGGTTCAAGTCAGTAATGTACATATTAAACTTTAAATGTTAATGAGTAGTGTTCGTAACTTAAATGCTTTAAAGAGGACGCTCTTGGCTCATGGACGTTGCCAGGAATTTTTACTGGGAAGGGGAAAAGTGCGAGCACTCACCACTAATAACATTAAAAACCATAAAAGGATGGCAGGGGGCATTTCCAAGATGTTGATTTTCTTCCTTTTTCAGTGTCGTTATTAAGATAATCACAAGAGTCCACAAACTATCACCAGATCAACACAAGACCCCAAGCCTGAATTCAAGTCAGAAACTATTATTATTATATAACTTCAACAAAAGCATTCCTTTGTCATTGTTCACCCTGTTACTTGTGAATGGTCTTGACTACAACACTGCTGTGTTTATTTTCATTTTTGGTTTCCGTTCGTTTTTAGGGAAGGCAAGCAGTCCCTCCCTTGCTCATAATGCCCATGTTTTGTCTTGATGATGTTCTTAATTTCTTCCAATTTGCTTAAGTTAATCCTTTGATTTGTCGCAGTAAACACAAGAAATCAAATTTTGCCACTTTCCAGAAAAAACAAGCTAACCTCAGCATCAAAGATGTTGTTTTTTACTCTTGCTGAGTACCTCAATTAAAAAAAAAACACAATTAATAACACAGGTAATTAATCAGCATTGTTTGCAATTATCCCCTGGCAGAGAATGCATTCCGTGAAGACGAATCTTCTGCCAGTCTTCCCAGAATTCCTGTTCAGCCAATAGGTTATGACGATGCCAAAACACTCCTTGGGTGAGTATGGGACAGTTGGCGTCATGTTGCATCGTAAACAAGTTGTGCAATGAAACATTCCTAAAAAGTACATTTCAACATAGAAGGTTGAGGCTGTTTTCTGGAGATCAAAATCCAGAAGTCTTTAGCAAGTATTGATAATCAAGGAGGATGTGGTTGCTTTAATGAGTCAGTTCTGTAAAGTAAAATGAGATCCTGAGGTGTTTGTGATTAACTTTTAGTCTCATGTACTTCGGTGATATGCTGTGAACTATGGGTGTGTTTCTTGATGCTTTAACATCGGTTTATCAAGCATGATTATACACGAATTGTATTTGACTGACTGCTGTAGACCCACGGTATAAACATTGTAGATATTTACTGAAGAATTTGATTGATTTTCATAAAAGCACAGAATTCATTATTTCATTGTGGAATATTGTGTTTCTGGTCAGCTTAAAAGCTTCAATGAAAGATGAAATATTGAAAGCCTTAGTGACACAGAAAATCTTGAAAATTGAATTCTTCTTGTACATGTACATTCATTTTCACCGTTGATATGTTTGTTTTAACACTGTGTGGAACATGGCAGTATGGAGCTCAAAACCAAAACAAAACAGTTCAAGATACTGAACACCCTCTAAAAATCCTTTTGAAAAACCACTGAACCTGCAGCTGGATTCAAATTTCAAATTCAGATTTTATTGAAAAGCTAAAGCAGGACAGAACTATCAGTTGCCCATTTTGCTCCGTTGACGCAGGGAGCTTGAAGGTGATGAAGTTCCAGAGAATTGGAGGGGTACACTGCAAGGACTAACATACAGGCTAGGTCCAACACTCAAAAATAACAGGTGGGTACAGGCTGTCTGGGATTAAATGTCAGAGTCTAGAACTGTTGTTATTGAAATTTTGTTTTGAATGATCCACATTTCAATTGACAATGGGTAACGCTGGAGAGATGTGTTTTTGTAGTGATCAAACCATATGACAGTCCATGTTTTCACATGTATTTTGTCATAAAATGTTCCATGGAGATGTATTGAATTACATGTAATGATTGATAATTATAATGAACATTTACAAGGAGCCAGTATTCACCATGCGAGATGCTCATGGCACACATGACCAAAAAATTGAAATTTTTAAATGAAACTAACTTTGAATTAACGAAACCAGTGACAAAAAATGTCATGTAGTGACACGAATTGAGATTGGTCCTACAACTGTGCGGTTATTTCACGGCAGGCTTGAGGTTATTTTTGGTATCACAGTTAGCTTAGGTGTGTCCCTACCAAACAAGTTGATGGCATATAGGCCTATGGTGTGAGATTCACAGGAGTAATCTCACGCAATGTACTATAAGGGAACCAGCTAGTCTGATAAGCAAGCAAGATGTTGTTGTGAAACCACTTTACCTGGAACATGTTGATTGAGGTTATTTGTTTGAAATGTTTTATTTTCTGATTGCTGATACATTGCAATGAAATGATTGTGTGAAGGAATGTGAAACTACAATTTTCAAAAGAACATAAGTCCTTTTACAATACCTAGTCAATACCAGTCTTTTGTCAAAATTCAGAAAACTGGCACCATTGTATAACTTTCCTGTACGTGCCTATCCATTCCACGTTGGAAAAAAATCAGAAGTATCAAATGACAGCTTTAGATCCATTGATTTCACACATCGCTCTCGGAGAAAAACTAACAAAGGTATCTTTGGCTAGACTTTGGAGACATTCCTCTATGACATCCGTGTGGTGCAGCAGTTTAAGAATGGGATGTCCTTTGGATTCTAAACTTTGTCCCCTTTTGGTCGCCGATGTAGTCTGATTCGCTCTTGTTTCACCCTCTTTCAGAAAAGCTAAGCTAGAGGTGTATAATCAGAATGAGAGACGGACAGTTTACAATGTCATTGGTATGCTACGTGGAAGCATAGAACCAGGTGAGTGAAGTGCCAAGTAGAAACTCTTTGTTAGCTGTCTGCAGACTTAGGCCAGTAACCAACAGTGTCAGGTGTTATTAGTGAAACTGATTGGAAAATCCTTTTTTTCCTTACAACTGAAAGTGTTCACCTACCTGCCATTCATTACTGCATACCGTGTAATTTGAAATTCAATTTCATTAGATCAGTATTCCATCTAGTGAGTTATTTTCAGTATAATTTTCGTCAAGAAATTTGATTTTGATTTCCCTAGTTTTTGGAGACACATGAAGCCTTTGCCCAATTATCCAGAGTTGCCCAAAGTCCAGTGGCAACTTAGCTTTAATTTGCAAATGGTTATTCTGGGAGGTTGTTAACAGACTGAAATTAATCAGGAGATTTCCCTTTCCAACCTGACGCCTTGTTTGATACTGGAATGTCATTGGTTATCTTCAGCTCACTCCAAGGTAATACTGTCTGTCATATTCCATGGAGGCAAAAGGCAACCTTGTGATTTTCCCTATTAAACTCAGGAGTGATTGCATCAGATTGAAATATTAACCCTGACTCTTCATGGTCCTCCGGCTGTTGGGGTTAAAATAGGAAACATGCATTTTTTTCTTTTTGTTTGGGCTCAGTGACATACTAAACAGCATCCTTTTTTTTGGTTGACAGACCGATATGTAATCCTAGGCAACCACCGAGATGCATGGGTGTTTGGTGCTGTAGATCCCTCTAGCGGTACGGCTGTCATGATGGAGATAGCTCGAGTCATGGGAAAGCTGTACAAAGAAGGTGGGGAATAAGACTCTTGACTGATGATCTAGGTGTTGGCTTACCTTTTGATAACACAAGAGTTTGAAAAAACTGCCAGCTAATCAACGCATTAAGTGATGTACTTTGTTGATTTCATTCTATATATTGCAGATTTTCCATTTTGCCTCCCAGTTTAGTGATGTATACATGAAGTGATATTTTGTCAGATCAGTTGATTAATGTGAAGAAAGTCCGTAGTACTTTGTGGCTCTCATGTTTTGTTGCATCATCGTTGTATCTCTTTGTTTCTTCAATGCACATTGCCTTGCCTATAATTGGTTGTTGGAGTTCTTTATGTTTGCTTATTGGTAACATCTTTTGCAGTTTTTATCTTGTACAATACCCAGCACGATCTATGGCAAAAAGGGGGACCCCCCCATGTCATGTGTAAGCTATATACCCTAAGGCTATTGTGCCTACTGCACCCTCCCAAGAAAATCTGAAAGGAATTCCAAAGATTCCTACGCAACAAGAGAAGATACAAAAGAGGGGGGGCCTTTGCCACATATTGTGCATCAAATGTCTCATACAGCCCTGTCAAAGAAATTTGGTATTTTTGTAAAAGCACTTATGATGTTGCAAATTTTGAACTGTTTCACAAGTGTATGCTGCATAGGCACATGTATACATGTTCTATTACTTTAAAGTTGGTTGAATTTGACTTTGGAATCTGTGCTAAATTTAGTCACTTTTAAACTGAAGAGCTTCATTTGTTTCTCCATTAGGGAGGTTTCAACCTCGTCGGTCCATTGTGTTTTGTAGCTGGGCAGCTGAAGAGTACAGTCTGATTGGTTCCACAGAGTGGGTGGAGGTGAGTTGTGTGTGGCTGGTTTCTTAGTGTTGGAAGTAGCGGGAGTTTTGTGACCAGTCCATTACTCCTTCTAGCTCAGGATTTTCACATTTTTGCAAGGGTGCATGGGTCCTTCAATTTTATGAGTGACTTGAAACTGTGACAACAACTTAAATGGACACAAATAGTGATGTAGACCCCTAATTTGAGAGCACTTTATATTTATGCACTACAAGGCAACTGTGACTGTGCTTTATCTTGATGAAGATACATAACATTAATAACAGAATTGTTGAATAACAAGAGAAGCAGAACATTTCCAAAACAAGGAGGGGCACATTAGATATGTCTGTGTGGTAGGGATCCCAAATAAGGGGTGTGGCAAAAGACACAGTATCAGATAACTGGTGGGAAACCGCCCTCCCCTCCCCAGCTTTAAAAGTCAGACAGTCCAGGGCATCATGAGTATGGAGCAGAGAACCCGTAACCTGTTGTCTTTGCAGGAGTTCTCCAAGATACTGGGTGGGAGAGCCGTGGCCTACCTCAACGTTGACATTTCGGTCCAGGGCAACTACACTTTCAGAGCCAAGGCTACACCCAACCTCTTCAATGCAATCTATGAGGCAGCTAAGCAGGTGCCCGATGCGCCACACCCGGGCCATTTAGCCACTGTCTACGACACCTGGCTAAATAGGAGACCCTGGTCAGACACCAACGCTGTTCCATAGTAAGCAGTTTAGTCTTGTTCTATTTCTTTTGGAATATCAGCTAGGAATATCAGTTGGAGCATTTGGAGCTCAGTATCTGTCAGAGACTTCATTTGCATTTTGAAGGAATGCATGATACTTGGTTTTATTCTGGGTAGCACTGGTCATGAAGCAAGTTGTCAATATTTGGGTCTTCAGATTTGAAGATCCTTGGTCTCAGTGCCATCTTCAGGGGTCGACATGAAGCCCAGAAGCTAAAAACACCTCCTGTCCTTTCAAATTATCAGGGGTTTGGGGGAGCTGTTTCACTGAACCCGGGAGCTAGTTTAGATAAGGTCATATTAAGCAAAAAAATAACAGTTCTGCTCAATTACATGCCTCTCAAAAATAGGGTCAGTAGGTCGGAAATTTTGGGGGTCAATTTTTCTGTGCTGATTGATTGGCATGAAAGGGGACAAAACCTTCAAAAAATTGTGTCAAAAAGTGATAAACTCATCTTAGTCCTTGTAAAAAATTTCTACAGTAGACAATCCACAACAATTATGGACAATTCACACAATGCTAGTCAGGTAATCACAATGGCAAACTGGCCAACGATGTCCGGGTATCGCGTAGTAAGCGTGCGTGATGCATCCAATAGGCAGGATATTATGTGGAAACATGCTCGCTTCAAGTGCAAGCAAAACCACCTCAAATTAAACTCTGAACACAGAGAATACATACGTAGACAAGAATCCAAGTTCTGTGAATTAACTTGCAGAAATCCTCTTGCAACATTGATGTTTTTTCGACCTGCAGCTTGTAGGGTTGCATGCGTGTATGGCCGATGTTGCGTAATTGAGTGGGACGCGGCACGGTGGGAACCAGCGCAGCTTTGCTTTAATAGATTGAGCTTTGCACACCTGTTTTCACCACTGCGACAGCGAAAAGGGAAAGGAACTCGCGAAAATAACAGAAGTTTCTTTACAAAAATTGCAAATGTAAGTAGGAAAACATATAAAAACAAGCATTCTAACGTGAGAAAAGGTTGTCGAACCTACCCCACCATGGTGAATATTTTGATGATTTCTTTGGAATAAAGTGTGTCATTACCTCAAAGGAAATCAGTAACGGCCTGGTGCTAATTTTGACTCCCGACCTCTCGCTTTATAACGGGTTACCACACGCTAATCATGGTTTGTCAGACACAAAAGTGCAGGTGCACCTGCTTAATGTCGACCCCTGCATCTTTGCTGGCAGGACATTCTGCAATTTGCAGCCACATGTATAACTACAGCCCAAGAATTGACACAGTTGTCTTTTTTTATCTGTGGGTACGCCTTAATAAAAATTTACTCTACTCACTAAGCACCCTTAATACGCTTAGCAGACAGGGCTGGCTCTACAGTGAATGCTGTACAGTCAAGAGCCAGTGCGCGTATAACCTCACATTCTTATTTTGCATGTGTACGTACATGTGTATTACTTCACAATAGAAGTTTTTCATGGCATGGCACATGTGTCTTTCTAAAGTAACTGTCCAAATAGATTCCATGCTGGAGTAATTTGCCCCCACTGACACAGCACAACAACTTGCCCTTTGTGCTTGTCTTATTGCATGCTTTGAATGAGACAAGACTTAATTTGGAAATTAATACACTGTTAATTTTTTGAATGTACATCCAGTGTGCTCAATATTGGTTCAGGCAGTGACTACGCAGCGTTTATGGGCGTGCTAGGCATATCATCAGTTGATCTACGTTATGACTACGATATTGTAAGTTGAAGCATGTTGGCTCCTTGTTTTGCTAAGCGAACGGTTTGATGGTACGTATAATACAGGAGGTAGGATTTCTTCCCAGCAAAATCGTATTACCATGATGTTGAGCAAAATCAATCTGTCACGGCCTACCCTCTATTTAAATGGGTTACGAAACTGTAACCACAAACTCCTAGAGTAAATTCCTCAGTTGACAGCACGCAGTGCTTCCTGCTACTGATACTTAGCAACATGTTGACACAGGGCACAACCTGTATGAAACCTTGTTGCACTGAATTTCCAATGTGGCAAAAAGCTGTTCTAGCCATAATGAAGGAGCAAGTTCTGTTTCTGACGTTTGCACACTTTATGGGGAGCCTGCTGCTCCTTCCTTTCATGAAATGGAAAGAGGTCCTGTTACCAGATAATCATGTAATTAGCTGCTGCCTGATATAGGGGACAGGTGCTAAAAACCCAGAGTGTCCTTTGTTTTGCCAGGTACACACCAATCACATTGACCAGGGCATCATTGTTTCATTCTGTGTTCATCTTTTGAAAACTCTGGTCTTAGGGTTACGGGATTTCCAGCTACCCTCTGTACCATTCCATGTACGAGACATTCCACCTGGTGTCAGAGATCATGGATCCCAACTTCCAGTATCACTTAGCCACCGGCAGGGTGTGGACAGAGCTTGCCAGGTCACTAGCTGATGCCCTCATCCTACCGCTGGATTGCCGGACATATGTCAGCCATCTCAATGAGTCCATCAGCTCGCTGAAGAAAGAGTATGCTGACAAGATGAGCCTCCAAGGGATCACTTTTGGTGAGTGGATAGGATGTGGAAGTGTGGAGGGGGTTGTTGGGATTCATTGCTGACAACAGCAACATCATGGATGAGGTGCTCTACCACTCCTGAAGGAAAGTACGTAAAAATGCCTCACAAGCCACTCTTGCCCATTGGGTCAATGTTTATGTCCCGTTTTAGTATGTGTAAACAGCCAAGAGTTGGGTGGGATGGTAGCCCATCACAACTTACTCCCCAGCTAATGCCAGTACCCATTTATACCATTGGTTGGAGTGGAGCAAGCAGGATTAAGCGACTTGCCTAAGGCAAGAACACGAGGCCATCAGCTGGATTCGAACCCTGACCCTGCAGTTATGAGTCTCAAACCCCAATGACTTATAATAAATCACTGAATTGCGTGACTCAAGTTAAAAATCATTTTAAAAAGTGACCAGAGTTGACTCACTGACCAAAAAGAGCAAATGGAGTCACATGATGGAGTCAAGTTGAGTTGTTTGCCCAGAGGAAATTGAGTCAAGTCATTGGAGTCACTAAAAATGTTCACTTGTGTCAGACTCGAGTCGAGTCACTGATTTGAGTCACTACGAGTCTACCACGAGGCCACAGTCTTCCACATCGCGAAGGCCAACTTAACACATTTGCATTTCCACAAATTTTGAACAATGAGTTTTCAGTTCTTTGTTGGGAGAATCCCTCCATAAGTACAGTATGCTTAGCGATGCCTGTGCAGTGTCTATAAGTTCACATGGACTGTAGCTGAAACTTGACATTCCTGCATTCTTGTGCAGCCATCCAACTACTCAACCATTGAGCTTTGGCAGAAGGCATTGAATGGTTTTGTGATGTTTTTGCTGAGGTCAGTTAATTCAGACACTGCTCGACACAGCAATAGGTTTATAGCCAATAGTGACTAAATTATTGGGATTACCTGGTACATGTTTTATCACTCATGTTAAACAGCTGAAACAATGTTGTTTTATCCTGGAAAGTCTGCACCAGTTAAGGTCATGTTTTCCTCTGTTCTTCATTTTTCTTCAACAAATGGTATAAAGGTGTGTTCACTCCCGTTGTTTTGAGTAATAGCCCATAACTGGCTTGTAAAAGACAGCCTCCCTTCACTGTCCATTTGCAGATACACTCATATCTTTTTCTTTTTTGGGGGGTGGGGTCATGTAGATGCAATAGATGCTGCATTGGCTGAGCTGTCCAAAACAGCAGACTGGCTACACAGTTACATTGGCAAGATGGAAATGAAAGAGTAAGCATCTCCAGTTTGTTGGACTCCTTGGAATTTCAAGTGAAATCTTCCAAATTGCAGACAGCGTACATCTCAAGAGGGGTTGACACAGGTTATTGGGACTGAAATCATTTCAACACCAAAGTACATGTATGCGCTTTGGATTCAATTTTGAGATCCCAACTGCAAAAGTGTCAAATACAATGGAACTTTGAACGTCTGCAATTGGACATTTGTCATAAGTCTTGTCAAGTTTTAGGCTTAATGGTTGGTCCAGATCGATACTTTGTTTGTCTACTAGGTTGCAGTGGGAAATGAATGAAAACAACCAAATTACTTTTATTTGGCCCCTGTGAGTAGTTCCGTCTACCATGCTAGGCCACACTGCAGAATGCTGCAAGGAAATGTACATTTGACATAGTGAATGCAGTGTAGAGGAAAAGAGGCAAATTATAGCCTGTTAGGATTGGTTCAAATTGCTTTGGAAATTAAATGAAGAATGTTTTTTATTTAAGTCCATTTGAGGTGAGGAAAGTCAATGACCAGCTGATGTTCATGGAGAGAGCTTTTATCGATCCATTTGGACTGCCGGGCAGACCACTACAAAGGTATGTTTGGAACCCTATTTAGGCCTACAATGTACCATACAAGAATTGTGTTTCTTGGGCAGAGGAAGACCCAGGGATTCAACTGGACATTCAGGAGGGGGAAAATACAATCATTGAATTTGTATTATAGTAATAATAATTTGTATAATTACTTGTAAAAAAGAAATCAACCCTCATTTTGCCCACTGAATTACATGTTTCAATGAAACGGCCCTCCTCATTGGCCATTGTCTACCTGAGAAGCAATTCGCAAGTTGAGATGGCAGCTTTCAGTGGCCATTGTAACTCTACGCGTCGTGTGCTGGGATGCACAGTGGGTTTGCTTTGTTTGGTTAAATTGGACATAAACTACTTTGAAGAAAAGACTTGAGTGAAACCCCGGGGGGCCAGCAATAATCTTCTATATCTACCACATTTACATGTACAAGCCTTGATGTTGGTCACTTAGAACTGGTGTATAAACACTCACATTTTGTTGAACAGGCTAAGTGGTGCATTCAATGATTGCAAAGCCAATATACGTCTGAAAAAGTGACATCTTACAAGATATTTCTTTCTTTTGTAATGTTTCATGCGACAAATATGCTAACTTTGTGTGAGGACTTATGACAACAGTTGCATACTTGGCTCTTTAATGAGAATAATACCTTTCCCTTATTTTTCGGTTGTTTGCAGACACATTGCTTTTGCACCAAGCAGCAAAGACAGTTACTACGGTGATGCCTTTCCAGGGATTGTGGATCTAATGTTTGACATTGACAATGCTGTAGACAGTGCCAAGCAATGGGACCTAGTACGCCAGCACATGTCAGTGGTGGCATTCACACTGCAGTCTGTGGCTTCCACACTGACGAGTGTTGATGTGCTTGGGGTACAACCCTAAATCAGTGGTCCATGGTTATTCCTAACATTATCACTATTAACCACACTGCATGATGAGATGGAATGGAGGTTATCGTATGCCAGTAATGGGAGAAATAACACATGTACATGTTATAGTTGATCACAAGATAGTAAAAGATGCCATCTTACCGTTTTCAGTTGTGCAAAATAATTCACCTGAAGATTTGAAATGAGGGTTACAAAAAAACAGTTGCCCATTGGAAGTAGAGATAATTGTACTTGTTTTGCTTATAAATGATAGCAGTGTATGTACACTGATGATCCCTTATTCTAACCTGCCAATGCACTGCGGTGAACACTGATATGTCATCAGCACATAGGGCTGTTCGCCTTCTGAGAAACCAACATCAGAGGAGGGTTTCATCACTGAGAACAAATACTCTTCAGCGGTGTAAACTCTCTTTGTCTGAAAACATGAGTAAGTCATTTGTTTCTTTCATTTGATTTTGTATGGTCAAAATTTTCTCGAGCAGCATTCCCTTTAGCCATGGTCAAGTCGTTTGTCAAAAGTTGTACATTTCAGGCCTTATGGGAATCTGTGCAAATCATTTTGAGTTTTTAATCTGCTGTGGACCTTTGAACTCAGAACTTGAGTGTGGTATGCCCAGTTTATAGGTCTTGGAGAAAAGATCAGTTAGCAGTTGGAACTCTAAATTCAGTGTTGTAGTCGAGTACTTTCCGAGTACCAACGCTCTCCGCAAAATACTGAACTGGGTAAGAGGGAATAAAGCCAGAGTGCACAGGCATTTGATGGTAAATGTGCAAAGGTAAGATTACAACATAAATGTTAGACTTCAGACACTCCCAGTTGTGTAAAATTTAAGTTTTAAGGAGAAAAGTACTTGGAAAGTACTCGGCCGAGTACTTTCCCGAGTACTTTTGTCCTAAAAAATTAATTTTAATCAAACAGTGATCTAATGCCTGACCTTAACGTACCCACAATGTGACCGGAGGTTACTAAATATAAATGCTGTAATGACAGGAAATAGACCAAGTGTGGCAGCTAAGTCATGTGAACTAAGGTGGGTACTGTCACTGCACTGTCCTAGCAAAGTGCATTTTTACTGTTTACCAAAGATAAAGCCGATTTTTGATACAGTGCCCAGCACATCGGTGTTCCAAGCATGGTACCTACTGTCAGCTTATTTTTGGTAAATGATACTCCTGAAACACTTTGCTATGAGGAATGCCATAGTTTGTTGATATTTGATACCCATTATAGGTCACGTGACAATAGCGGGCACAATTGGTTAATATGTGGAGTTGAGACAGACCTTGGAAAATACTTCCGAGTATTGAATACTTTACTGTACGATGTTTTTCTTTGCCTTACTTTTTTAGGAAGTGTCTCATCAAGTAATGTTCTATATCAGTTAAACTTTTTGACTGCTGTGATTTTTGAAAAGCGATATGAACAAACTTTGGTAACATGGTGAATAAGCCATTTTTTCAGGAAAGTTTGACTAATGACTTTCTGATTTTTTGTAAAGTGTTTTTACAAATAATGTTAACCACTTCCTGCCGGGGACTCCGGAATCGGAGACGTATGTTTTATATGCGTGGCCGGGGTCTCTGAACTTGGACAAAGGAAATAGGGCCCTGTAACAAAAGACCGTACTCCAAACAAAAGACCAGGCTGCTGGGCATTACCGGCATTTTTCACTCTCAAAAGTGGTGATTATCCAGCCTTGTTTTGAACCCGTATACCAGGGTTTGGAGCATTGAGAGCAAGCGGATTACCACCGGGGACAAAAGCTCTCCACCACCGCAGCGATGAGCCACACAGCACCGCTGCATGCTAATCTGACCCAGCATCATTAACATTGAAAAATGCCCTGGCATGAAGTGGTTAACACTGAGTTATCATTCTTTCAATTGAGTCTATTTGCATTGATTTGAGAATGGAATTTGCCATATGCAGCAAGGTATGAGACGGAGAGAACCCCCCCTGCTTTGTGTTGGTCATTGTCTCCCATGAATCTGGGGAATTCCTTTCAGACATCTTGGGGGGATGTGTTATGTAACAATAGTCTGGAATGTGTATAGGGATTGGACATGTGGGGGGGTACCCCTCGGTCTCATTTCTTGCTGTATAGAATCTGCACATTGCTTGAACCGTAGCTGCAGTGAATTTTTCTCGGAAACAATTTTTATTTCTTCCGTGGTTGAAAACCGTTTTAGGCCAAAAAAATAAATAAATGCTCGGTCTCTGGTCAGACAAAAGTTCCAGAATTGATGCAGCGATGCATTTTTTTGGGGGGGGATAGGGTTGGCTTTGAAGACTAGCAACAGACACGGAAACGAGTGGCATATTTAATCAAAGAGCAAAGATTTGTGGTAGCATGTCCCATGTTATGCCACCATTGCTGTTGATCAGCTGGCTGCAACTTTCTAACCTACCCATGGTCTACTGTTTGTGTTTGACATCAGCATTATGCAGTCGTAGCGGATCTATCATCGCGTACGAGCCACCCATGAATTAGTCTGGTTCCTTGAACAAATTGTACTTGTGGCCTTGTGGCCGGAAATCGGTTTACTCGCACAAATTCAGGTGGTGCAATAATAGAGGATGCTGTTTTGAACATTTTGAAAAAAAAAATTGGGAAAAAAATTGACGCATGCATCAATTGAACGTGCATGTCAAATTGTTTTTTCCCGTTTTTTTTCTTCCAAAATGTTCAAAACAGCGCCCTCTATTTCCGATTTTCTTACCAGAGACCAACTATTTTGGGGGGGCCTTACTTTCCTATTTGGTTAAATGCATTGACAAATTTTCCATGCCTTTCTGAACAACTGAGGGCGCTTTTGCTGGGAAGTCATCTAGGGAAGATAAAGGTTACATGTATTTCTGTTCAAATTGTGAACCCAGAATTTACTTACTGAAAGCCAGTGGTGTATTCAAGTCCATCACAAGTCATTCAGTCTTAAGCCAACTCACACAAGCCATTCCGCTGAGCTGTGACAAAAGCATTCTTTTGTCATTTACAGTGTTACCTAGGCCTGGCCTTGTGAAGGGACATGTGAAAAGACTCTCACAAATCATTATTTGTGGCATTTGGTGTATATCAGTGGTTGGCTGCTATGATATCTTGTCTTTTACACGGTTGAAATTTTTCACCAAATATAATACTGTCGCAAGTAAATGAAGGCTTGAATACTGTTAAAACAGCACTGAAGAATTTGCTCTTAAAATTTGTCATACCACTATGCAATGCACATTTACTGCCTACAAAATAATTATCTGTTTTACTCACTAATGAAAAAGTTCATTCTATTTGTAATGATTGGAAGTGATGGCAATACATGTATAAAGTAATTTTGTTAATCATTGAGCTCATGCTTTGAGTTTATATCTTTGTTTGAAAATTGATATACATTTGTAACTACATGTACTTAACTTCAATAATACCGAATATTCAAATTATATGAAACAAGTAAGATTTGATGACTGATAGTAAGAAGGATAAGCATATACTTCCTTAAAGGAACCAGGAAATGAATTTTTCTTAGAATCACTTTTTGTGTATCTCTGTACTCTTCTTCCGTGTATGAAGACTGTTGGACATCTTTTTTGAGTTACATGAACTGAACGGTGCACTTTTTCAAACATGAAAAATTGACCAAGCATTTCTGGACAAGTGAGGGCGCTTTTGCTTTGATGTAAATTCAGGAAGACATGGTTTAGGTTGCATGTTTTCATGTTCAAACTGTGAACCCCAAATGTACTATCTCAGAACATTTCTGGGAAAAGAATTTTTGCTGGATTATTGCCATATACTTACACAGCAGTAAATGGCCAAAGAGAAAATGAAATCTGTCACAGCAGTGGTTACAAAAATTTAGAAATTTTCTGTGCACAAATCAGTGTCACATTGAGATTCAGTGCCTTGGATGACATCATAGTTCTGCTCATGAATATGCAAATATGCATTAGCATAAAACAAAAAACATCAAAATATGGGTTAAAATTGCAAAACAAATTTAAAATGGGGTTAATTGAAACCCAATGATGCAATTTCAAGGGTTTTAGTAAAATTTATACAAATATTTTGATTTCCTGGTTCCTTTACATATAGAATGTTCTATAACTGATAATTGTAATAGAGACTTTCACAGCAAAGGTATGATGTTTCATTAAATTCTCTTTCCAAAATAGTTGGAAACTTTATCAATTGCAATTCAAAACTTTGTCAATATTAAATACATGTTCCAATAAAATACAGCAGCATTTTTCCTTTCAAGAATGAAATTAATATTCATTTTTATTGAAGTTCGTAATCAAAACACCAATTTACATATCCAATGGTGAGAGTATTACTACACCTGTTTCCTTTAGTAGTATTCAGTAGTTTACATTATATACATTTGCTTCTGAATAAATGCATTTCTTTTGAATATTAAAAACATATTTATTGCATTAGTTTGTGCCTCATAATTTAAAGTGTCATCCAGTAAGGTTCACATACTACCATGATGTGAGTGATGTACCCTGAAATAAAATAAAAATTTTAAGCCGAATTACTTTTGGAAAAAATGACAGGACACCATTGGTTTAACCCCCAAAGGTGAACTGTATTGCTATGTTAATATCACTGGGTACAAAACACATTCAAATCAGGCTTTCCACTCAAAGTGACAAGTTCAATACAGCTCAAAAAATTTTTGAATTCAAATTGTGAATTTCAGGAGTGTCCATATTTAAATTTCTTGAGTCATCTTATAAAAACAGGAAGACGGAAACAGTAAAGAAGTTAGTAAATACTCCTCAGTTTGGAAGTTTCTTTCAAAATATCTTAAAAGGGAAGTTTGATGCGACAGAATTTTGCAACATCACATGAATATGCCAACTTAACATAGAACAGGATATACATGTATCTACTAATATATCCACTGTGTATCTCCTAATATATCCACTGTGTATCTACTAATATATCCACTG